TTGGAGTCTATGCGTTCGTTTTGGTGAGAATTCTGAATAAAGGAATTTACTTTTAAGTTGTAACGGAGAAGCGTCTCTCTGTTCCGGTGGATTCTTTTATGTTCTTGAATGGTTTATCATACATATATTCTACGTTTATTCTAGTAGCATATCTATATGTATACGTAGAAATATAATTCAATACATACGGATTACAGAGAGACGGATCTCTATCGATTGTTGGTTTTTGTGTCTGTGTGTTTGCAGTTGTAGTGGATAATCTGATTTTTTGGAGTAAAAATGAAAGGACTGCTTTATTTGTAGTATTGAGTGTTGCAAGAAATGAAGGGAGGTTTTCGTTTTATCCGTTGCTCGTTAGAGAGGATTTGAAGCAGCGTTGGCAGCCTAAGGTTCGGTAATGGACATATACTCATCTGGAGAAGACTTGGTTATTAAGGTAAGAAAAAAATATTTAGATTATTATTGATGTTTAAAAAATTGTTTCTTTCAAATTGAACTAGTATTAGTCTTAAGTGTTAATCTAATTTAATCTGAATTATTAAGTTGTGTAATGATAGACAAGGAAACCATATACAATTACCAAGCAACGGGAAAGATGGACAGAGGAGGAGCATAACAGGTTCCTAGAGGCCTTGAAGCTCTATGGACGAGCTTGGCAGCGAATCGAAGGTCTAACTTGCATATATCCTTTAATTTGTTTTTTTTCAAGCTGTCATTCAAGCGGGATGATTTATTGTAATTTATGGGGTATTTGTAAAATTAAAGTAGCGGAATGATATGGATATTCCTTATAGGAATGCATGAAATACTTTTCTTATGTATTTTACTCTTAATTGGAGATCGGTCCCTTCTCTCTTTGTGTTTTGTCTTGGTGATGTACAGAACATATTGGTACAAAGACTGCCGTGCAGATCAGAAGTCATGCACAGAAGTTCTTTTCGAAGGTCAGTATCTATCTTTATCTACATCAATTGTTTATTTTTCTGCTGCTATATTTTTTTATCTAGCGTCTCATTGTTGATCCTTCAGTTGCATGCCTTTTTAATTGTAGATTATCTTCTATTTTACATCATAGGCCTCAAGATTATTTTGTCATCACATTTGTAATTGGAATTTCTGGCCGTTTATCTAAAAGCTAGAAGCAAACTGTTTCTGGTGCTTGGGGAGCGATTAAAGTGTATATGTTGCTTCGCACATGCTTATTGCACCACACCCACACTGCTTATCAATTTTTTTGTGACATTTACTGTGGTAGACTATTTGCTTGGACTTATTTGAACTTATAATTGACAATATCCACGCAAAAGAGTTAAGAAAATTTAACTTGCCTTTTTGAGTAAGAGCAGAGATGGATGTTGAGGTTTGTTTGTTACTCCCACATACTTCATCTTTCAGAACATCCTCCCATAAAATATTTAGTCTCTATAGATGCTTGGTCAGTAACTAGTTAGACAAAAGAATAGGGTGTTTGAAAAGCAGTTATATATATATGCTGAAATAGTATTAGTAGTTAAGCATTGTGCTTAGACTCTTGCCTGAGGAAAATAGCCATTTTAGATTTTTAACCGGTTTACACACCACCAGTCAATATCTTTGATTAAGTATCCATTAGGAAGATAACCATTGGAGCAAATTTGCTTTTTGTATAATTTTTGGCCTTTTACAGTATCTGTGGTCATGTAGGTCGTACCTTTGGGCTGTGCAATATGCAAATTTCATTTTGACCTGTTTAGGTTAGCAGTTGGGAAATTCAATTTGACATATGATATAGGCTCATGCCAGCCAACATTTTCTACTTTGGACAAATTCAGTACAATTTAGAAATCGAACTCATGATCATCTAAGTTTTTAAATGAGCGTGCTTATTTTTAATTGACAAAATGTGCTTCCAATAATTCATGAGAGTTGGTAGTTTCAATTTGGGTTGTTTAGTAGACCTCGACTGGAGCACCTGAAATTCCCTGTTGCTTTCTTTCTATTATGACCACCTTCCCCTTTTGAATGTCGTCCAGATCAGCTTATGAGCTTGTCAATATAGCTACTTGTATTTGATCTTATATCATCAGGTGGAAATTCAATGTAATCCATGATGCTGTTAATATCTCTGTGCTGACACATGGTGGTGCTGATGACTTTGTTGTCTTTTCTTACCATTTTTTAATCATGCTGTTATGAAGATTATATCTGAACCATGTGCTGTTCCATCCCAAATCATAAAAACTTCCATCAACATTTGCTGGTTTATGGACGTACACTAAATAAAAAGGCACTAACTTCTAAGAAAGCATCCTACTGGTGTTCAGAAGGGTCTAGCATACTTTCATATGGTTATACTATGCTTATTCAGTTACGTAGAATAATGAACAATATATAGGAGATTTATGATCATTATGGCAGTGGCACCTGGGAAATCTGGATCTTTGATTAGTGACGATAGTGAACTTGCTAAGCAATTATGTTAACATTTAGTCATGAAATTAAGTTATGTGACCTCGTCCAAGTAGCCACTTGAGTAGGTCTTGGCTTTTTTTTGTAGCCCAATTGTGGACTATGACATTAGGACCCAGGCTAGTTATATTTGAGAAAGTTCATGTAAGGAGCATGCTTGCTCTTACTAATCAACTGGCTTGTCCTGTCTTATTTGGACGGATGACCCCATTTTTTCTTCAAAAGAAATTGTTTCTTCCAGTTTTTTGACAGTCGTCTATCCATCTTCCTTGAAGAGCACATTACCATGACGATGTCAGTTAGGTCTAGGAATTTTTTGTTATCAGCCTTAGGTTGTCTTCCACAAGTAGATTTTCCTTCTTTTAAAAGACAAAATGGCATTAATTTTGCTTAAAGAGTAAAAAACTACTTTTAAGAGTATAGCCAATATGCAGTTTCAAATGAAGTTGCCATGTGGACAGAGATGTTATCCCAAGCTAGTAAAGTGTGAAGATATACTTTCTCCTTATCACCAGTAGAAGTTTGTATTATTTTTAGTTGTTCTCTTGGGATTTTCAGCCTTCCATACTTGCAAGAACCCTTGATATTACTTGTTATAGGCAGAGTATGTTTGTTCCAATTTCCAGTCCCTAACTTGGATAGTACCTTTGGGATGTTCGTTTTCCATGACTTTTGTTATAAAAACAATATAACCTAGATATAATTCCACCAAACGGGTGTCTTAGAAGGGAGAATTCAGAGTATTATCATCCTTCAACATTTTTGCTCAAAACTGCAACCAGCCTGAGACTTTTATCATTCCACCACGCAATAGCCACTAAATTTTATTAATATTTTCTGATCTTCTGGTTGATATAGTATACCTGTTTTCCTCGCTTAATAGGAATCTTTACAGATAGATTTCCTTCAACTTTTCATGCCAGAGATGGAGATGGGTTATCTTTTTGGAAGTTTCATGAAATGCTAAAAGGATCATTTCATCTCTTTATCTAATGATGTGTATCAGACGGAAAATCTATATGTAGTATTTTAATAACCACTGGGAAAATCCCTCGTTAGCCCTACGTTTCAATTTGGAAAACAAGCCCTTGTAAAAACACTTATCATCAAATTTACCCTGACGTCTCATTTCATGAATTTAAACCCAATTGGTCTGAATTGTAAACAATATAGTCCAATTGGGTTGAATTGATGAAACATGGAAAATATAGGGTAAATTTGATGAAAATTTTTTCACTGTTGCTTGCTTGCCGAAGTGACACAAACACAAGGAAAAAATTGGGGCGTTTTTCCAATTATCATTGGAAACTAACTGAAAAACAATGAAATGGTGTACTATATTGATTGAATTGTCTGTTTAGATCATAAATACTATATCCTGTCTCCAATTTACCGTGAGCTTATCTTCATATAAATTTGAAAACCTTGATTGGAGTTTGATGATATGAAGGCTTATATATGAGTGTGGAGGATGGTTGAGCATCAATTTTTTCTGTTTATGTTCATGTAAGAACCAATTACAAGATGCCGATCTTAGTGCCAATATCCATTAGTATGGAAACGTGAGAAACAGTTCAGCTCTTTCAAGCTGGATCAAGTTTCTATTACTTGATGTATGGTCAAGAGACTACTAAAGAAGGGCATGGCTCTTATCATTTAGTGTCCTACTTCATCTTTCAAGAATCTGAATTTGTTCTGTCAGAATTACACAAAAATGTGCCTATGAGAAATCTCATGGTCTGTTTCTGTCTCTGTCTCAACTTGATTACCATATATATTTTTCTGTTCTGATAATAAGGGGGCTGGTTCGGCAAAGAAGTCCAGGTGACATAGCCAAACCAACACACACACACACCCCCTTCTCTTGCTATATGAACAGTAGCGATTGGATGCCCAAGTACTCTTTATAAATGTTCAGTCAAGCTAACTTTACAGCGTAATCAACTGACAAGGAGAGACTAGTGAAACAAACTACTTCTGCAGCTTCTGATTTGAAAGAGTGCCCTGTGATTGAAGATGGATAGTTTTGTGAGGTCTTGCAAGTTTAGGAGTTCTTAGTAGTTAAGTGGGAAGAATTTATTTGTATACAAAATGAAAGGAAGTATCGCAAAGAAACCCCATGTTCCTATGTTTATTCTGAATGATTTTTTTTTTTTAAAAAAAATGTTACTGGTAAATGTCTACTTAGGAGGAGGTGGGGGGCACATGGACCATTACAGAGAATCTGCATGAGAACACAAAATGAGCAAGTGTAGGAGGATACTATCTGAATAGCATATTTCTTTTTCTTTTTGTACATGAGTGTGCATTTTTGTAAGAGGATCTCATGGAAACTCTTGACTGTCAGGTGTTTTAGTGCCACATATTGAGGCAGTTTACGCATTGGATTGTTCTTTTTTGTGTGTGTGCTTGCTCACCAATTAGTACAGCAGGCATTGGATGTTTAGCACGAAGGTGTAGCTCTAGGAACAACACTGAATGCTGTATACAGGGGGAATGGAGGTAATGTCATCTCATAAAATTCTCATCTCGCCCAGCAACATTTCTAGGCGATGGTTTCTGGGATAGAGTGGCATAATTGGATTATTGAGGTTGCAAAAATTTCTTCTGACGCATAATGCATCTGATCTGACACTTATTTTGGCAAAAAAATCTCTGCCTAAATTAATCTTTTTTTTCCGTTCCTGTTTTGATGCTGGAAAGTCTTTTGATATGTTACTGTATTTGATTCATGGCCTATCTTTCTCAACAAAAAATAGCATGCTTTCTCATATCTCAGAGAATAAAGTTGCACAATCTACTAGAATTTTAAGAGATATTCTTAGTCTGATAAAAGAATATTTTCCTGCTGAGGTGTTACTTTGATTGTGGAATACTTCCATGTTGTGGAGCGGATCGTTTTCTTGTATTTTCCTCTCTGTTGAGGATGCTAACAGATATTTCACTTGCAGTTGGAGAAGGAGGCTGTTGCTAAAGGTGTTCCAATAGGACAAGCACTTGACATAGACATTCCACCACCACGTCCCAAAAGGAAACCAAGCAATCCTTATCCTCGAAAGACAGGTGTGGGTCTTCCTGCGTTACAGACAGGAGCAAACGATGGAAAGCTTTTACCTACAGCTTCTTTTCCGCGTTGTAAGCAAGTTTTAGATTTGGAGAAAGAACCACTTCCTGAGGTGAACTGTCATTTTCTTTTTTCCCTCTGCATTCCTTTAGTTGTTCCTTCCCCTATGTTACCATCTTTTTATTGTACATTCTTCAGAAACCTAATGGAGATGAGAGGCCAACCGATGCTAAGGAAAATCAGGATAATAATTGCTCAGAAGTATTTACCGTTCTCCAAGAACCTCACTGTTCCTCTGTACCTTCATTCAACAAGAATTCTGTACCAACGGTAGAGATTCTCAAAAAGCCTAGCTCTTTCAGGGAGTTTGTACCTTCAGTGAAGGAGGGAAATCATGGTGCAAGTAATGAATCCTCTGTCACCGTTGAGCTTGAAACAAATCAAAAGTTGGACAACTCTGAAGCCAAACAGACAGTTCAGGATAATGGCACTAGTAAAGCTTCAAAATCAGAAAATTCTTGCTCTTTGCATGAGAAATTGTTTCAGCAAAAGAAATCGGATGATTTTATTGGAGCATTGCGAAGAGATGAGATGCAAGCCATGCAGAACTATCCAAGGCATGTTCCTGTGCACGTTCTAGATGGGAGCCTGGGAACATGTATGCAAACTCCTCCCTCAGATTTGTCGTTTCAGGACTCCATGTTTCATCCAATAGGAGAAATTCCAGCATGTCCCAATTTATACTCGCACCCTGCTGCATCCACTACCACTGATCATCCAAATAATTCACCAAGATCCTCTACGCATCAATCGTTTCCAAGTTTTCCTCCGCCCTTTACGGCAACTCATCATAATCAAGATGACTACAGATCTTTTCTCCACATATCCTCCACATTTTCGAGTCTCGTTGTATCTAATCTGCTACAAAACCCGGCAGCCCATGCTGCAGCAAGCTTTGCTGCTACCTTTTGGCCCTATGGAAATGTGGAGAATTCTGCGGATTCTCCAGCATGTGCTCAAGGAGGTTTCCAATCCAGACAAATGAACTCTGCTCCCAGTATGGCAGCTATTGCTGCTGCTACAGTGGCGGCAGCAACTGCATGGTGGGCAGCACATGGACTACTTCCCTTGTGTGCTCCTCTTCATACTGCCTTTGCTTGCCCTCCTGCATCTGCAACTGCAATTCAGCCTGTGGATATTGGTCAAGTTCCTGCAGCCAAGACAGAAAGGAAGGAAACAACTGAAAATCCTCTTTTGCAAGGTCAAATACAGGACCCAGAGCACTCTGAAGCTTTGAAAGCTCAAAACTCAGCATCTAAATCACCAATGATGTCATCGTCAGACTCTGAAGAGAGTGGAGGCCCACAGCCAAACACTGGACCTAAAGTGACCGAACATGAGTTGACTAAATCACCTCCTGAGGTCGAGGATTCAAGCAAAACAAAGAACAGAAAGCAGGTCGACCGTTCTTCATGTGGTTCAAACACACCATCTAGCAGTGAAATAGAGACAGATGCATTAGAAAAGACTGAGGAAGGCAAGGAAGAGCCAAAAGAAGCTGATGAAAATCATCCAGTCTCCGAGTCTAGCTGTCGCCGCAGCAGAAGCAACTGCAGCATGAGTGATTCGTGGAAAGAGGTCTCCGAAGAGGTGACTGGATAGATATATTTCTCTGTTGATATTTAATGGCATTTCTATGACCCAGAAGAGTAGAGCTTATGATTGTATTTTGCTTTTATCTCCACTCTTCTTAAGTTTACTACTTGATCAGGGGCGGCTGGCATTTCAAGCACTCTTCGCTAGAGAGGTATTGCCCCAGAGCTTCTCACCTCCACCTGATTTGAAGGGTGAGATGCACCAGAGGGAAGATACTGAAGAAAAGAAAAATGCAGATGAGAAAGATGGAGATGCATCCCTGTTAGATCTCAACAGCAAAACATGGGAGTACTGCTCTGGCCATCAAGAAGGGGAGAAAAATACGTTGCCTAGGTGGGAGAACAATGGGGAGGGAGGGCTGCTGACGATTGGGCTTGGATATGGAAAGCTTAAGGCTCGTCGAACCGGATTTAAACCTTACAAAAGGTGTTCCCTGGAGGCCAAAGAAAGCAGGATGGGAACCACCGGCGGCCAGGGCGAGGAGAAGGGCCCCAAGAGGTTACGTTTGGAAGGGGAAGCTTCAGTTTGATAATTGATATTGCATATGCTTTAAACAAAGGAAAGCCTTTGTTTTTGCACGTAATTTCTAATTGTCCCCCTTTATCTATAATTCCTTTCATGTTTAAATTGGGGTATCTGCAACCCACGAGACTTGTCGTTTAAGTGTGTGTACCATATGTCGACATTAGCTTATTTACTTCCTTGAACCCCTGACTGCAGTTAAGTACTACTCAGTAATTAGACTTAGATAAGAACTTAAGCACCATTAAATATTGAATTGGCCTTACATGGCCCTTTTCCTCCGAAGCTCGTTATTCTTTTCTAACATTTATGTGTTCTGTTCTCTTTCTTCCTCTTCACATTGTGGTTGTGAGCAGAAAGGATGTGCTCTTGTTGGTGAGTTGCCCCTTGCCACTGATGTGAGGGAGAGAGAAAATGGGTATTTGCTTTGAGAAATCTTTTGATGCGAGTTGGATTTTTTGGGGGGCAAATATCAAATATAACACTAAATTATTAAAGTGAAATCAATTTTGCATCCAAACAAATTATTGTGTATACCAATTTTATCATTAAACTATTTTGATTTCTGGATTAAAGACTTCTATTAACGTTTAAATTTTTTATAAAATGACTTAAAAAAAAAAATTTAACAGTATAAGTTGGATGGATCAAAATTTCTAATTAATTTTTTTTTTTTTTAAGTTTGTGGATAAAATTGATGTAAAAAACTATTTGGTCATAACATTGAGACTTAATGTAAAAAATTATTTTCGAGGTGTCTTTTTTTATTTAATTGGATTATGTCTCAAAGAAGATGGGAACAGACTAACCTTTGTCCGCGGAGGATAGATCAATGATGTGATTAGACCACTGTTCTCGCCGGATTTGATTTGATTATTGGAACCTCGATTATTGTTTTTGAATTTATTCAATTAAACAAAAGTAGATTTAAGAACAATTGACCATACGTTGTTCTGTGTTTTTGAAATTGAGGATTTGTAATCTTCAATGGGAAGGTGGTGGTTATTTGTGCTGGCGGGCGTTTGGGATGCTTCTGGTTTAGGCAGGCTTCCGAATAAAACCCACAACGGTTTGGCAAGCAAGAAAGCTTCTCACATAGGAATATCAAGGGAATGTGTCTGAGCCTTTGCGTCTAACAAAACAATTAGATGGCTGATCAAACCAAAGAATAACATATAGATTATTCATAAAATTTTGCCTTCAAATTCTAGCATGCTATATTTTTCATTCTTGTTCTTAAAAGAGGGAATCTTCTATCCACTTCATCATATTAGACTTTGGATGCAACCGATTTGAGATAACAAAGTGAATTACTATACAATCATTAACTTATAAGTTAAGCTAAGCAAGCAGTCATATTTACAATTCTTTCAAGACAACGAATAAGCAGTCATATTTACACATTCCTCAAACATAAATCACATCTTTTTCCAGGAAGACGAGTCTGCTGTATGTTCTGTACATCATATATGTATCGAAGTGCTTCCTTAGTCATGTTGGCATATTACTGTGCATCCATTTCAAGAAACATGCAAACTTACAATTGCATGTTACAACTGACCTTAGTTTCCAGGTGATGTGTTGGTAATCTGCAGCATAAGAAGCTTCTAAAAGTAGCTGTACAACAGTTGTGTTTTACTTGGTAAGAGAATCCGGGGATTGTTCAGGAATAGGCTGCAATATTGAAAAGTGAGACCTATGATACTGCAAGTTGAAAATGTAGCTTTGGATTCGCTTCCCACTAGCAGAAGTTAATGAAAATGGAGGGTTCAATGGGAGACATGTTGCTTCTTCCAATATAAAATGAAGCAGAAGCATTGCTTTCAAATATGCGACATCAGCACCACCCTTGTTCTCCATGTACTCATCCACCTGAAAGAAGACAAGAACTGCCCAGCATTAATGTAATTTGTAAAAGGAACAGGACAATTGATGCTTAAAGCACAGGTTGGTCACTTACAGCACCCCTTGTCCCAATAGCAAGTGCCTTTTGGAATATCAGCTCCATGGCATCAGGCATCTCAGCTGCAGCTACAACATATTTGACAGGTGAAGAAATTGCAAATGCAGTAACACAGAACAAAACAAAAGCCAAGCATCAGTACAGCACATTAACATAAAGCCATACCATCCATGTCTCGGAGGTTATGAGATAACTTCTCTGCACAGTCAAACGCAAGAATGAACCCTTTTTCTGCCCACTTGCAGGCAGATGAAGGCTCGATAAAATCCATTTTACCAATTGCAGGCGGAGTCAAATCTGTGCCTCCATGACCAAGGGTAGGTTCACTGGCTGAACTGCTTTCATGCAATTTGCTTTCTCCAGTAGAAGCTACCCAGTGATGGCAAATTTCAAGAGCTTTCTTCCATATAGCCAAAACAACAAGCTCAACTGAAAATGATTCTAGAAACATTCCAGCATCATACTGCAAACAATAGCAATTACAACTAGTCATCAGAAACAGAACGGGATCATTTCTCCAGGAAATCAAACAGTAACTAAAAGACAAGATCTGTTCAAGAGACTGGACATGTACAAGTATGTTTAGCAGTAGTTATATATGCATCCTTTCTACTCTTCAGCCACTTAGTTACACCACAAGAAATTTTCCACACACAATATTGTCCTTTAGCTCAAGAATTCACGATGAATACTAAAAATGGTTCTCGTAAGAAATAAGGTTGGTGATACTAATGACTGATACCTTGATGATCGATGATGTAGGAACCAGGAACAATGCAAACACCTTAAGAACTCAAAGATCACCACAAATAAATGCTATGAAAAAACAACGAGCATATAACATCTGCCATCTGATACAGCTTATTACTTGCAATAAAAAAAATGCCAGCTCCCTTGAGTAAGTGAATTGAACGTATTGCTCATGAAGAACTTAAAAGCAAGGGAAATAAATAAATAAATAAACCTCTGTTCATTTATTTTTGCAATTGTGTAGTACATATGCCTCAACGGGCATCATCTGGATTTATAATTCATTTTGTCTTAGAAAGCAAAAAGACACTGCTGAACAAACAATAACATGGATGTCCTGTCCAAATCGATGGATTAAACGACAAGAGTTAGATGAGCTCGCATAACACTGAAAAACTCACCTTTTCTTGGGCTAGTTCTGCAATTGCTCGTGCATACTGATTCAAGAACTGAAGCTTAATTGAGGGGTGTAGCATGGATAGTCCTAGTGCTTCCTTTAATAAAGTTGGCACAGTTAATGGTTCTGATCCATGGACCTCAGGATTGCTTGCACTACCAGCAAACTCCTTTGTTTGTGTAACAACTGCTGTATCCTGGTTATTCTTCTGAGGTAGGTATACAGAAGCTTTGCTGGTGGAGCTATCTTGCAGGGATGTCTCAACGTAACAAGAGAGATTTTCCGTCGAAGCAGAATGATGATTAACAATAACATAATCCTTTTCTATAGACTCCATTAAATGAGCAACTGAATAGAAAAGAGAAAATCAGTACTTGCCCACCAAAAAGAAAAAAAACACAAGCTGAGGTTGTAACGTGTAACATCTAAGAAAACAAACAGAACACGATAAAAACAGACCTTGAAGCTGATCCAACGAAGATTGGCTGCCATCAGCAGGTTTCCCCATCCCATCATGCACAATATTTGGCACAGACCCATGGACACTTCCATTTCTGTCATCAACCTTTGCTAGCACTGTTACGTTGTCATGCTCAGATGTGCTAGTTAATATTGCATTTCTGGTAGCTGACTGCAAGCAATGCTCCAATTGAGACCTTTCATCAGAAGCAGATGCATCAAACTGCTCAACTACTGATTTCATTTGTGGAAGTAGAGAAGATTTCGCACCCACCAACAGCCTACAGAATTTTGTGGTAGTAAACATATGTATGTAGCTAATGCAGAAAGTGTCAACATACATGAAATGCAGCAAGAAGAACGCATAATTAAAATGGAGGTTCAGACTTCAGAGCATTACCTTGGCTCCCCGAGGAACTTGTGATTGAAGAACTCCTTGAACGTTAACCTCTCAACTGTAAATAAAAGTCGAAACATTTACATGAAAATTTATTAGGTAAGTTATAGCACTAAATGACTATGTAGTGACCCTTGTACTCTTTTAACTTGACTTATATACTTCCACCATTAAACCATCCTACCCACATGCAAAGCCATACACCGAGCATTTGCACATATAAAAGCACAAAAATTCACCATAGTAATCAGTACCAGGGTTTCGGCGCAAAAGGCTTCTGCATAGATCCACACAATCTGGATGCAGCTCCTCCAACGCACCTTGTGGAAACCTTGGCTCTCTAGATGTCAAAATATTTTGGAAAAGCTGTTCACAGCAATAGCAGTGAGAATTAGCCTTCAGCTGCATAATGTACGGCCAAACTCAATGTTTCTCGCATGTTTAGTTTGCATATAATTCTTTTGACAACCTGATATTGAGTATTGCCACCAAATGGCGGCTTCCCAGTTAGCAGCTGGAATAAAACTGCACCAACACTCCATAAGTCAGCCTGCATATATGAGAAATTATGTTAATGATAATACTTCAAAATTTACTTCGATTACTGTCAATTTCATGCAAACTCAATGCTACATCACCTTTGCATCATACTTTTTATTCTGAATAATCTCTGGAGCCATGTATAATGGGGAACCGCATAGTGTATCAGCGAAGCCTGATGATGTCAAGGACCTGGCATATTAGAAATTCAGCGAGATGACTGAGTGTAAGAGAGCATCCCATGAACATTATGCAGCAACTCAGCATTTTAGGTTTTTGGTGTTTAGATCAATAACACAATGTTTTCAAGTTTAGCATGCTCAATGACGTTGCTTTCACATTTTTCCAGTGAACTGGACCATTCTTCATACAAGTTATTATATAGAGACAACAGATTCATTTACAAAGCTACTCAAAATTTATGTTTGCACAGAGGTCTGACAGTGGAAACCAACAATGGTCCTTCCATGTCTACTCCCTAGACTAAGAGCTGAACATAAATCTGCATTCAGTAGCATGTGGTATTATTGCAATGATTTAAGAGGTCACATATAGAAGGGACCACATTATTGAAATTATTCAAGAGTATATAACAGTGAACGCTTTCTATCAAATTGTTTCTTGAAAGACTAAACACAAAATTACGATGTGGCTTATGAAATATATGGGGCTAGATACACTATGATGACCTTTGTAGGCAAGCCAGATAATTTGGGAATAGGACATCTCCAACTTAGTTGAGTATGCTAAAAACAAAATGATTCTTAGAATTGAAAAGGAATAGCACATCCTTGGGGGGTGGGAAAGAAAATCACAAACATCAAAGCATGCTTACCTTGCAAAGTCAAAATCACCTATTTTCAGTTGCGGAGTTAAATCATTTGACGACAAAAGTAGGTTCTGCAAATATGATAACTTCCCGGTTTAGAATCACAGTAGGTGAGAAAAGCTAAATTAGCTGTTAATTGCCAATGCAAGCAAACTAGAATGGAACATAAGAGTGCTGTGAGAGTTCGATGAAAAATAATACAGGCAGATGCACAGTAAAAGAATTTCGTTGCCAGAATCAGATTATTCACAACAAGTACCACAATAAAATAATCTCACTAGACGTTGCCAAAAAATAGAACTTTGAAACTAATCAAAGTACCTGTGGTTTTAAGTCTCTATGAATAAGATGTTTTTCTTGCAGCACTTGCAACCCTGCAGCTGCGCCAAAAAAGAAAAAAGAACATGTTTGTTTAGTTCCCTCCAGGACAGCAGTAAAAGGAATGAATAAGTGAGTACAGCCCCAACAATCTATTTTTTAAAAAAACATCACAACTTTCCAATTATGAATATCCATAAGTTATAACCTTGCATTAAATGTCTTCTTTCCCCATTTAATTTTAATTAAGCATTCTTAAAACAAACAACAAGCCATTTTACCAATTTCTCACGATAATCAATATGACAGTAATTAAACAGCCAGAAAAGTATATTTATGTATATATATATTTGTTAGATTGGAAGGTACCCAATTGCAGGAAACACTAAAAGCGCGAAACCCATTATAGTTGCACACCTAAAACAGCATCTTTCCAAGTTCAACCATTCAAAAATTATCTACAGACTTCAAGAAAACAGAATCACCAGAACATTTATAAAGGAAAGATTAATAAATAATTGATCATGTACATTATTACCCAATTGCCTCATAAAGTGTCTTGCAACAGCCTCAGTTACTTTCCGATGGCGTTGAATATAACCAGCAAGATCACCTCCCTCACAGTATTCCAATACGAGAAATATCCTATCTTCAGTCTTAAAGAGAGAGAGAGAGAGAGAGAGAGAGAGAGAGAGAGAGAATGATATCATTAACAAAAAAACAAATTACTGCAAGAAAATAGTTAAAAAAAAAAAAAAAACACAGGAGAGTGGGAGCAGAGTTACCTCAATGGACTCAAAAAGGCGAATAATATTGGGGTGATTTATAGTGCTTAGAATAGAAATTTCTTTAAGCAAACTCTCACTAACTTTTGGACTAAGTAATTTTCTGTCAATTTCTTTAACTGCAACTTCTAAACCCGAAAAGCGGTGTTTAGACCTCCAAACAACGGCAAAAGAACCCCACCCGATTCTGGGGCCAAGTATATAATCACCGATCAAACGGGTCTGGTTAAGATCCATCGAAAAAGAAAATAAAAATAAGTGAAGTAAAACGAAGTGGAAGAGTAGTTGACCACTAAAAAAACTGGGTCTTGGTGTTGGTGGGTTGTTTGTTCCTGGTATGATTAAAGAGTGACAGGAAAAATATTTATAATGTTGCTGCTTTTTTTCTTTTCAATGTAGTCGAGTCATGTCCGTGTTCTTGATCTTTATGCGTGTTGGTGTGGAAAAGACGCCGATAGCTATAGGCAAATGCAACGCAAAAACAGAAGAAAGTTGAGACTGCAAGGGAGAGGAATTATGAACTTTTTCTATGACAAGGTTTCGCTATTTTAACCTTTTGCGCTTCTTTCCGTTTGGTTTTGGAGTGTGTGTAATTCCGCGGATACACATTTTACACGTATCTATGTATGGCCTTCTTCTTTGGGTTACTTTTGGCTATGGATTATAATTCCTTGCATGACCCCTTGTCCTCTAGGGATTAATTTAGCTCAACATTCTTCTTCTTATTTTATATATATATATATATATATATATATATATATATATTGGAGAGATATATAAAACTTTTGGTTCCACCCTCTATTTGAATTGCACTCATTATTGAATATCAAGTAGAATTACTCTTAACAGTGGGGAAAAAAAAAACTGGATAAACTTTTATTAGACATAGAATTATTTGAGAATTGGTTTGATTTTAAATGTGGATGCTGACCTTTTTTAATCGAAGACAAAACACATGTAAAGACACGAGTCACAAGGGACTTACACTATTTACATTTTGAAGCAATTGCTGATTGGAAAATAAATAAATAAATAAATAGGTATCTACGAACGTACCAATCGCTTATAACATACAAACATTTATACATGCAACCTAAGATGTAATTGTTCCGTCCGTCTTAAAGGTTCAGTCTATGATTTTACTGTTTTATTTATTTTAATCACTTTCTTTTATTAATTTTTTCAATGATTTTGTCTTTTTATTCTTAATTTCGTTCTTTTAGCCAAATTTTTTAATAATTGTATCAATTTCCAATGATAGATTTATAGGATCCTAACATGTGGTATTAAAAAAAAAATTCTAAAAAAAAAAATCTGAAAAAAATTCCAAAATGGCTATATTTTTCTCTACATTTATGTATAGAAATAAATAATTAATTTAATCCCTTTATTTTTTTTGTTTTATCTTAAATTCAAACCAAAAAAAGAAATTTTTTTATGTATAGAAAAGAACAAAAACAATTTATTTATTTATTTCAGAAATTTATTTCAAATCCAAACCCAAGAAAAAATTATGAATTTTTTTTCATAACATAACATAAGAATAAAAGCAAGAAGTAGGACATTTTAGGATTTGGTAATTATGTTTATGTATAGGAAAGAACATAAGAAAAAAAATTATTTATTTCAGAAATTTATTATGAAAATTTATTTAAAATGCAAACAAAAAAAAATTATTTTTCAAAACATAAGAATAAAAGCAAAAAACAGATAAAAAGAAGGACATTTTAGGATTTTTTTTTCAGAATTTAAGAGAAAGCAAAAAAAAAAAGCAGATAAAATTAATTAATTATTTTTATACCTAAAGCTCTAAAAAAAGGGGGGGGGTTGGAATTTTTTTAGGATTTTTTAATTTTTTTCAGATTTTTTTTAAATATAATTTTTCAGCATCATGTGAGTCTATCATTGAAAATTGATGCAATTATCAAAAAATTAGCCTAAGGATAAAATTAAGATGTAAATTAAGAGTGGAGGGATACTATTATTAAAAAAATTACTGAAGGAACATAATTAAAATAAGTAAAATAACAGAGAGACACTCAGGAGCTTTAGCGAGGAAAAAGAAAGAAAGAAGGCGTTCCTCGGATATTGAGGTTTGATTTGACCAACTTCTCTGTAGTTTGGACTGTTAAAGACTTTGCCCTCAAGATGAACATGCCCCCCTTCCGTGACAGGTACGAATAAGCCCTTAATACACAAGAACAAGAGGCATCGGCCCAATTACGGAGAAGGGCCTGAAAGCCATGGACAATGAGGAGCCCATAAAAAAGGCCGAGCTAAGAGGACCGGATCACCATATCATGTATCTTCAATTTTTTTTTTTTTTAGAATTATATACATCCATTCGGGACAGTTACGAATTTTTCTTTCTATGAAAATATGGCAAACCATACTCTGAGCTAGTGAGCTGCCTCGAAGGATCGGATCACTATATCATATCCATGAACTTTTGGATATTTTTTTGCTGTTTTTTTAACAACAGGATATTTATTTATTTATTTGTACAACTTATCCATATTATTGGTGTAAGTTTCTTAATCATCTTTTGTACGAAAAAACCAATCAAATGATTTTGCGAAAACTCTATGGTTCTGTAATGATTCTTATTTCAACTCAAATCAAATTTTTTTATTTCAAAAACTGTGGAATGATTTTTTTTTTTTATTGCATCTAAATATTCCAATAAAAAATTATGACACTGCAAATTATAATCATAGCATCAAAAAAGAAAGCGTAGTTTTGTTGGAAAAGAAATGTAAAATAATTAAACGACTACGACACATTTCTTATCAGAATTATGGTCATGTGCAATACTGTTGTGCATTTCTTTATATTGAATATTAAAATTTGCACTGATTTACATTCTCCATAGTTTTAAGTCCCTTAATCCTGTCCTAAGATGCTGGCTTAAACGTTTAATAATATGTGGTCTATATTACTATCTAGAGTTTGATTATTTTATTTTATTTTATCTTTATTTGATGAATAACTCTAATCCACACTATTCCAATACAAAATTCAGATAAATTTTGAACAGATACGTAATTAATTCAGCACAAGTGCTAGTTGAAACAGAACTCATTGATTTTGTTGATAGTCCACGAAAATAGAAAAGAGGATTCTTGCATATTTATCGAAAATATGGGGTTCATCGATACATCTACCCTTATATATTAGATGTATTTCCTCGTATATCCTTTTAAGATTTTTTTTCATTTTCATGTACTCTTATATATTCATATTTTCTTTCATGTCTTTTTGTCACTTTCTAGATAAAAATAACCATCAAAATACCAAAAGAAAATTTAATTTTTAATATATAAAAATTAAAAATTCATTATAAAAGACATACAATTTTTGAAAAATATAAAAAAAAATCTAGAAACTTAAAAACTTGGAACATCCCAACATGAATTAAATAACTGATAAAAATTATATAACAAACCATGAGAAACTAATGAAAAAAATTTAAAAATTTTGTTTTGCAAAACTTATTTTATCAACATGTTCATATTTCTGTTACGAGGTTCTATGGGCAAGTTTTTTTTTTTCTTTTTTTTTTTAGATTTTACATGTTAGTTTCAATTTTGTATTTTTTTTTAATAAAAATTTCATGTTTTTAGATTTGATCAATTTTTCTTTTGGGTTTGAGGGCGTTTTCATAAATAAATAAAAAAAAGCATATGAGAAAAAATATGGATACATAAGAACATATATATGACACTGAAAAAAAAAACCTTAAAAGTATATATGGAGTAATACGCTAAATATATAAAAGTAGATCAATTACCCCAAAAAGATACCTATCTTGAGTTTGAACATAATTACTTACATGGTGCGAAAGATTCTTTATCTATGGATATCTATTTATTACATAAAATAAAAATAGTTGAGCAACTTTAGCAAATTGACACATTACTAAAGGAGGATCAGATGAGATCATTGGCAGAGATTATATAAGTGATACGTGTCAGGGTTTGCTATGATACTTCAAAACACTATAATTACAGAGCATTTTCAAGTCTAGAAAATAACTAGTCACTTTCTCGCACTATCTTACGGATTCGATAAAAAAAAATTATTTTAAAATTTTATTTTTTTAATTATAATTTTTTATTTACTTAATTTTTTTATTTTTATTTATAAATTTTATGCTTAAAAAAAAAACATAAATCATTCTTCTTTATGGATTCATTTAAAATAATACATATAATAATTTTAACTAAAATATTAATCAAGAATTAAAAAAACTTTTAAAATATAATTTTCATAATTTTTATTCTAAAAAATAAAGTTATAATTAATGGATCGATTTTTACAAAAATTAACAAATGAGAAAAAATTCTTGTTTAATGTTGATGAGAACATTAATTTTTAAAATTATCCGTGCAATACTACGTGTAGATAGAATACATAATTAAATAAAAAAAACATAAATTTATGAAAATTATAAAAAGAACACGTGAGTAGAAAATATATATATCATATAAATATAAAAAATATTGTATATATTATATCATAGTCGGTTTGTGTAAAAAAATAATAATAACGATTGATTTTTAAAAATTTTAACACCTAATTAAATAAAAAAAGAACATAAATTGATGAAAAAAAAGAAAATTTGATTTTTCAAAATAAAATAAATTGATGGAAAAAAGCAAAAGAAAAAAACCGTGTAGTGTATCAATTAGAAGATTAAAATTTTAGAGATAAAAATAAAATAAACCTAAGAATTTTAAAAAAATTAAATAAAAAAACCTAAATTGATGGAAAAAAAAAAGCAAAGGGGGAAAAAAACATGTACGAGTGAAACTAAACTAAAAAAAAAAAACACTTGCCACGGGAATAGCGAAACCAAACCGTTTTTAAAAAAAAAACCTTGTTTCTAAAAAGCCGAAGAAGGCCAACGAGAGGGGAAAAAAAAGTTAACAAGTAAGTGTAAAAACAAAAAAAAACAATACAACTTGAAAAACATTATTCATTGAATAGTGAAAAGAACAGTAAGTGCATAATAAATGTACCTTTTGTTTTAGAGTATTTGTAATGAGACAAGGTTTACGACATAATAAGTTTAAATGTTCATTAATTCGTAGTAATTTAAAAAAAGGTTTCATTATCACTTAAATAGTCTTTTTTTACTTCCTTGAGGCAACAAGTTTTTTTTTTTTAATTATACTTAAATTGTTCATAACTATCATAATTACATAACAATGAGCTAAATTATGTAAAGATAAGATAAATTTTTACAAGTGATTAGGTGAAGATATTTAACGAGTTTGTGATCACTTATTTGTTACGGAGTAGACAATTTTTTTTTTACGTAACAATACACTTTTAAAATCGTAATTGTACAATATTATTAATAAGGAGCATAATTATAGGACAATTAATTAAATTATTAAACAATAAGATAATTTATTACTACACAATAAATAGAAAAATATTTAACAGTATATAAATTGAAGGCACTGTAATATCAATGTCTTTAAGTAACTATAGAAATTGCCAATAGGGGTGATACATCTAGAAAAATGGGAGATAAGGGCTTTAAATAGGCTTGCAACCTTAAAACTTTGTTAAAAAGAGTAAAATTTGTTAATTGTTTATTTTATTAAAATCCAATCTCTTTATCATTAATTTTTCCACACATACAATAAATATATAGATACATGTTTAATAAAAAAATATTCATATTTTATGTTTTACGTCTCGTGTTCTTTTAAGCATGAATATTTTATTAACAAACTAACAAGACTCAAATTTGAGATCTCATGTCGAATGAGTTTTTTCATTATCATTTGAACCTACTTTTTAATGATTTTTTTTACGGGAAATATAATTTCATTAATAACAAAAAAATAATAATACAAATATATAGTGAAATCAACAAGGCACGTTTGAAAAACACAAATATAAAAGCTCAGTTTATTTGCGTGCTGATCGAACAATATGTATTAATTCTTCAAGTCTCGCCCTTTCTATTTCACAACTTTCAATTGACTTTCTAAACTCTTTTTTTTTCATGCTCCTCCTTATATCTCATGAGCCCAAGCCCAAGCCTGTAACCACAAGACAGAGAAAAAAGGAGCTGTACCATCATATCTTATTAAAGAAAAAATCAAAATCCTCAATCAATGACAACATATTGTTTTGGTGACAAAAATAATGACTCCACCTCTTAAGAATTCTATTAGAATTGAAAATTTGTACTTCTCTGCATCATGAATCCTCGAAAAAAATCTTCAAAACAACCAGTAGTTGAAAAAAAGAACTTCTAAATAATTTCAATTTATTTAGCTAATTTAGCCTCTAGCCAAAAAGAAAAAAAGGGAAGAGGGGGAAAGAAGAAGAAAAAAATAGGAGAGAAAAGGGTTTGGGGCTGCCGCTAGCCAACAAAAGGGGAGGCGGCAACCCTTAAATCTAAAGGAAATGAAAGGTTGTCTAAGTGAGAAGTTTTCTTGTTTAGGCCTCTATTAGTGTTTACGCATAAGTTATATTATCAATACTGATCAATTTATTTAGCTAATTTTGCCTCTATGTTCAATCAAACTACCGCTGTAGTTATTTGTAATGCGAGGAACAACTTTACTTGCGCAAGTAAAACCAATATCATTATTGACATAGCATATAATACATAAACAAAACAAAAATATCTCCTCGTTGTATTTGATAATAATTAAAGTTTTCTTTTTTTGCCAACAACTCCATTTATGGTGATGGCCGCCATTAAATTTAGTTGTATTTTTCTAATATGAATATACTACATGCATAACCATCAATACCTATCAATAAAAAAGTTATTTTGATTTGACCGAAAATCAATATTCAATTTTCAGTAAACACAAATAATTTGTTATAATTATTCTTTAGTTACATTAGATTTAGATTTATTTTGCTTAAAAAAGAGTTAAATGTTTAATAAAAAGATGAGTATGTTCTATACAGACGTGGTTAGAAAACATAATGATATCCACTATATATATATATATATATGTATATATATGTGATCATCGAAGAAAAGGTCATTAAAAAAAAAATTATTTGAAGAACAGAATTTGCATCTTCGTGTAGAAAAATTTGCTAAAAGGGGGGGGGGGATAACTTCAATAATGTTTTTTAAAAAATATAGAATTATAAAGATCTCGGGAGTCTTCAACTAAAAATCATAAGGATTAGATGGTTTATGCAAGATCCTGCCTGGAGGATTATGGATTATAGAATTGGTGCTTCAAAGCTATAACCAAAACTTTTTTTTTTTAAAAAAAAGAGAGGAACCGATGCCTTCACATCTAAGATTTAGCCACGTAACTCTACTTAATTTAACATCCCAACACCAGGCCACAGCAGAACCGAGAAGAGCAAACTCAAATTGTTTTCGAGTCTCTGTTTGGATACAAGAATGAAGTAAAACCCAAGCGTGCATAAAACACAGATGTCAGCAGCCCAAAAACCAGAAAAGCGGGTAAGATACACACCAGGTCCAGGCGTGGCCTCGGCATTGGAATTGGAATTAGAATTTGGGGTTGGAGCCAGCAGCAGGGAGAGTAATGGGTGTGTAGTTAGCAAAAGTGGCTTTTTTTGAAGGTAACATAACATATAGATCTGACAATGGCATTCCGTAATTCTCAAACTACATGCATGATAAAAAGCTAGCAATGTCATATAGATGAATGAATAAACCACTTTTGTTGTATGTGATATTGAACTAGCTTTTGTATGTTAAGACTAGTTTGCATATAAATAAAAATATCGAGAAATGATAGCATAACCATAGTTAGTGTAATTTTTTCAAATTATTTCCTTACATGTCGGGATTAGTGGTGTAATAAGAGAACAAAAGAGATAAGAAATTAGTCATAATAAATAATAATTAATGAGTATAAAAGAAATTAAATGTCAAATAATGAATAATAATTAAATAAATTTTATATAGACTAATAGAAAAAAAAATTTGGAAAAGCTGAGTATCATAGATCCGAGTCTCAAAGCCCAAATAATTTAAATAAAATGATAAAATGTAAAAAATTATTAGTGCATTTTGGACTATAAGACAGGACCTAATAGTCAAATAATAAATTTTCGTGGCATATTTCATACTTAGGAATAGCAAGTCTAAGTCGCGAGTGCCTTGCTAATTTGCATTCGAGTGCACTTTGAATGTAAGTTAACGGTGATAATATTCTCGATTTTTTAGGTCTTAGGTCGAGGGTATTATATTACTTGTACTATTTTCATGTAGTTGATGCAAAAATAGCAATAGATAAATTATAAATTAGTCTCTCTTGCTTTAAGAAATGAATTAATTAGTCATTTTGATTTCATCAAATAATTATTTAATCTTTTTAATTAGTACTCGACCATGACTATTTTTTTTTAAATATCTTATTTTCTAGTAAATCTTTTTCATATATATATATATATATATATATATATATATATATATTATCCATTTTCTTCTTTTCTGTTTCTTAAAACAAAAGGTAAACAAAAAATTGAAAAATTATAAAAAAGAAAAAACATTAGTTTTTGAAACTAGAGGGACTAATTTATAATTTACTCTTGAATAGCAATTTAATCCTCTCCTACGAAATAAGGAAGAAAAAAAGTAATGACAGTAGCATTAAATGCTCTGTCAGAAAAGAAAGTGGATTGGTGAAAAAAAGCTAAAAGAAAAATTAAAAAAGAGAATAAGTTAAGGGTAGGTGTGGACTTTTATAAATCCATAGAGTGGCAATAAGTGTAATTAAGAGTAAAATAGAAAGTCATTTATAATGCAGAGAAAAAAAAAAGGAAAATGATGAAAAAAGGTTAAAGAAGAAAATTTAAAAGAGAATAAGTCAAAGTCAATTGTGAATTTTTACAAATCCATCAAGTGGTAGTGAGAGTAATTAAGAGCAAAAGAAAGGTTGTTTATAACACAAAGGGGAAAAAAAAGCTCAATCCATAGTACAATTGGGTGAGAATGAATAATTTAATAATAGAAAAATCATCACCTGTTTTAGTTTTTTTTTTTTTTTTTTTTTAATGAGATAGTGTTTACAATATAATAAGTTTAAATATTCATTGGTTCGTAGTAATTTAAAAAATGTTTCATTACAACTTAAATAGTCTTTTTTTCTCCCTTGAGGTAACAAGATTTTTTTTAAATCGTACTTAATTGTTCATAACTATCGTAATTATGGAGTAATTAGCTAAATTACATAAAGATAAGATAGTTTTTTACAAGTTATTAAGTGAATATATTTAACGATTCGTAATCACTTATTTGTAAAATAGCAATATACTTTTTGAATCGTGATTGTACAACATTATTAATAAGGAGCATAATTATAGGATAATTAATTAAATTATTAAACAATAAGATAATTTATTACTATACAATAAATAGAAAAAAGTATTTAATATTATATAACTTGAAGGCACTATAATATCAACGTCTTTAAGTAACTATAGAAATTGTCAATATACATGTAGAAAAATGGAAGATAAAGGTTTTAAATAGGCTTTAACCTTGACAATTTGTTAAAAAGAGTAAAATTTGTTAATTATTTATTTTATTAAAGTCCAATCTCTTAATCATTAATTTTCCCGAGCATAAAATAAATATATATGTACATATTTGATAGAAAATATTCATCTTTTATTTGATAGAAAATATTCATCTTTTATATTTTACATCTCGTGCTTTTCAGGCTGGAGTGTTTTTTACTAAAAAACTAATAAGATTTAAACATGAAATCTAACGTCGAATGAGTTTTTTTATTATCATTTGAATCAATTTATTGATAGCATTTTTTTACGAGAAATATGATTTCATTAATAAAAAAAATAATAATACAAATATATAGTAAAATCCACAAGACACGTTTGAAAAGCACAAATATAAAAGCTCTGTTTATTTGTGTGCAGATCGAACAATATGTATTAATTCTTCGAGTCTCGTCCTTTCTATTTCACAACTTTCAATTGACTTTCTAAACTTTTTTTTTTTCATGCTTCTCCGTATATCTCATGAGCCCAAGCCCAAGCCTGTAACCACAAGACAGAGAGAAAATGAGCTGCACCGTCATATCTTATTAAAGAAAAAATCGAAATCGTCAATCCATGACAACATATTGTTTCAGTGACAAAAATAATGACTCTACCTCTACATAATGGATCCTCGAAAAAAAATCTTCAAAACAATCAATAGTTGAAAAAAAGAACTTCTAAAAATGGATCAAAACCTCAATAGGGTAAAGACATAACTTCAATTTATTTAGCTGATTTAGCCTCTAGCCAAAAAAAAAAAAAAAAAAAAAAAGACAACAAGGGGAAAAGGGGTAAAGAAGAAGAAAAATAGGAGAGAAAAGGGTTTGGGCTGGCCGCTAGCCAAAAAAGGGCAGGCTGCAACCCCTAAGCCTAAAGGAGATGAAAGGTTGTTTAAGAGAGAAGTTTTCTTGTTTAGACCTCCATTGCTATTTACACATAAATTTACACATAAGTTCTGTTATCAATACTAATCAATTTATTTAGCTAATTTAGCCTCTATAACTACTGCTCTCGTTATTTGTTATGCGAGGAACAACTTTATTTGTGCAAAGTGATACATAGCATGTAATAAATAAACAAAATAAAAGTATCTTCTCATTGTATTTGATAATAATTGAAGTTTTCTTTTCTATGCCAACAACTCCATTTATGGCGATGTCTCTCGATCCGCAATGATTAAATTTAGGTGCATTTTTCTAATATGAACATACTGCATGCATAACCATCAAAGAACCTGATTTATCGGTAAAAGAATTATTTTAATTTGATAAAAATCAATATTTAATTTTTATTATATATGAATAATTTATTATAATTAATTTTTAATGGTATTAGATTTAGATTTATTTTATGTAAGAAAGAATCCAATATTCAATAAAAAATTAAGCATGTTCTGTATTAATTTAATTCAAGAAATGTCGATAATACCTACTATCTATAAATATATACATTAAAAAAACATACGGGATGCATACATTTTTGTTAAAAAGTTTTAAATGTGACCATCATTGGAGAAAATGTCATTGAAAAAAATAATAAAAAAAATGATCTAAAGAACAGAATTTGCATCTTCGTGTAGAAAAATTTGCTAAAAAGGGAATAACTTTAATAATATTTTTTAAAAATATAGAATTATAAAATCTCGGGAGTCTTCAACTAAAAACCATAGGGATTAGATGGTTTATGCAAGATCTGACCTGGAGGATTATGGATTATAGAATTGGTGCTTGAAAGCTACAATCAAAACTCAAAAAAAAAAATAAAAAAATAAATAAATAAATATATATAATAATAAAATAAACAATGAAGACTGAACCCTTCACATCTAAGATTTAGGCACGTAACTCCAATTAATTTAACATCCCAACACCAGGTCACAGCAGAACCGAGAAGAGCGAACTCAAATTGTTTCTGAGTCTCTGTTTGGATACAAGGATGAAGTAAAACCCAAAGCGTGCATAAAACACAGATGTCAGCAGCCCAATAACCCGAAAAGCGGGTAAGATACACATCAGGTTCACGCGTGGCCTTGGCATTGCAATTGGAATTAGAATTTGGGGTTGGAGCCCGCAGGAAGGGGGGTAATGTGCGTGTAGTTAGCAAAAGTGGCTTTTTTCGAGGTAACATGACATATAGATCTGACAATGACATTCCGTAATGCTCAAACTACATGCATAATTGAAACTTGTGCAGATTGTTTCACTAAATCCTAATATTTTTAGAGAAAAGATTAGATATCGTCTAATCTCAGCCATTGAACTTAGTTGAAATGCTAAAACTAAACACATTGGAATTAACTCACACTTAGCACACCATTCTATATGGTACCAAATGTAGCCCATTCCACAGACCAATCTTCTCCTTTTTCTCCAACTTCTATGCCTCCCCTCTCCCCTATATTGCCTCCCAGCTGATCTTGCATGCCATCATCTCGCTGGTTTTTACCCTTTTTCTGACTGAGACTCTTTTGACATGCCAATGTATTTCGGTACTATTACCCCTTTAATGTAATTAATTCTCACTTTTATTTGGTCCATGAACGCAGCGTAAAGAATATTCAGCTCGATCAACACCCCCCCCCCCCCCCCGCCCGAATTCTCCTCTTTAATTCTTTCCTTGATATTCTCTCCAGTCAACACTTTCACAGGCAATGTTGGCTCTACTCTTTGCGTCCTTTCTTCTCTTTACGTTGCTTCATCAATCACCCATTTCTCATTGCCTTCATGACTCACAACTGCATCTTCGGCAACTAATTAGTCAGTGTGATGAGAAATGCGGGAAGTTGCATATCCCATTTCCATTTCACTTGAACACTTCTTGTGCTTCAGTTTCCAATGTTTTTCATCTTTCTTGCTCAAACTCCACTACCCTTTACCTTAACATGGACTCTCAAAGTTATAGAGTCCTGGAATTCTTCTCTGATGGTATATTAGTAGACTTTCCGGGTAGCTCCACTTGTCGTCAGTACAACGATTTGAATTCCTTTGGTTTGACAATAAATAACTACTTTGGAATATCTGTAGATAATGTTATTGGTTTATATGATTGCGAGGATTCTTCTTTGTGTAAAGCAGATTGTGAAACAATTGACTTGCCTGGTTGCGATGGCAGTGACAGTGGCTCTCCTGCCTGCTGTTATCCACTTTCTGATCATACTTCATGGGATTTTGGAGATGGGTTTTCAGTGTTTTCTAAGTTTGGATGCAGGGGATTCTCTTCTTGGGTTGTTTCTCGCGGTACTAATACTGGAAAACGCGGTGTTAAGTTGGAATGGGCGGTTCCAAGGAATTCATCCAAGGGAGTTTGTGCTGACAATGCAGACATTGTAAATGCCACAGCAGTTGATAGAGGAATAAGGTGCAAGTGTCAGGATGGATTTGTTGGTGATGGATATGCTAATGGAGAAGGATGCATGAAATGTGAGTGGCTATTAACTTTTTTTTGCTTAAGGTCCAGCTTTTTTCTGCATGATGTGGTAATTCTTCTCTATGGTTATAGGTCAGGACTTCTTTTACATGTTTAGTAGCCTCCTCCTTCGATGTTTCATGAGTATTACCATCAATTTTAAAGTTGTCAGCATTTTAAACCAAAATTATCTTCCAGAGACATTTATAGTTTGATTGATGCGAAGATTTGGCTTTAGCATACCCTTGTAATTGCTGCATAAATTTGGTTCAGCATTCTAACTCCTTTTGTTCGATCAGAAGTTAAGAAGGCAGGCAAAGTATTGGTTTTCTTAAGTTAGATCTTATTTTTCTCCTCTATAAATTATTAGCAAATACCCAGGAGCAAGGGGCTTGAAAATCTAGGACTCAGAATGTGTTTGATAAGAATATTTCCAACATGCACTAAACAGAATTCCTTTCATTCGATGTGTCTTGACAGCCAGCATCAAGGATGGAAGGGAAGCACACGGAAGTGATTGTGATACAACAAAGCACAGGGGAAATCTGGTTACTATTTTAGCCGGTATGTAAATTAGAATTCAGTAGTTAGACCTTTAGGCCATTGCAATGAAGACTCATAATAAATTCAGTAGCCTGATATCAGTGCAGAATCACAAAATGTAATATTGACTTGAACTGTACTTTTCTCATTTTCTCTGGCAAGAATTTACAGGCATCCACGCGAAGTGTGCATTTGGAGATTCCATACTCTTCTCCTTTTTTTCCTTCTTTTTTATGGGCAGAATGCTATCTGTAACTTTCGTTGATCCTTATTGCTGCAAGAATAATTTCATCACATCCTTAAAATTTGCAGGAGTTATTGGTCCGATATTTATCATTGCCTCCTTGATTGCACTGTTTTGTATATTGAAAAGGCCTGTTAAAGCCGACATGTACGACACCGACCAGGCTCATTTACATAGCACCATCTCATTCAGGAAAGCTTGTAGGACTCGATTATTCAATTACCATGAGCTAGAAAATGCTACCAGAGGATTTGAGGATGGTCAAAAACTTGCAAGCAGCAATAACGGCACAATGTATGCTGGGGTCCTTGGAGATGATACACATATAGCTGTGCACAAAGTACCATGCCAAGATGAAAGAGACCTCATTCAGGTCCTGTCTAGGATTGAGATTTTATCTGCAGTTTTACATCGGAATATGGCACGTCTCCTTGGATGCTGCATCGACTCTGTCTACTCTCCACTAGTAGTCTATGAGTATCCTGCTAATGGTACCCTGCAGGAACATTTGCACCAAAGTGGAGAACAAAAGGTTTGCCTTGATTGGTATAAGAGATTGAGAATTGCTGCAGAAACAGCAAGTGTTCTTGCATTCTTGCAGTATGAAATCCTTCCTCCTATCTTCCACCATGATCTCAAATCCAGTAACATATTTTTAGATGAAGATTTATCAGTTAAAGTCACCGGGTTCAAGCTACTTACCACTAGCCTTGGAAGTGAATCTTATTCATATAGCAATCCTGAAGGATCACGTATTCACAAAAGCGATGTTTACAACTTTGGTGTGTTGCTTCTGGAGTTAATTACAGGCACTAAAAACAAAGAACCCCCAGCTATAGCATTGCAAAAGGTTAGAAATGGGAAGCTAGAAGAAATCTTGGATACGGGTCTATATTATCACGAGCAACCACCATTTCGCAGAGAGCAAATAGAGGTAGTTGCTGACCTTGCTACAAGGTGCCTGTTGTTTGGTGGAGATGGTAAAATTGGGATGATTGAAGTTGCCAAGGAACTGATACACATTGCAAAAGAGAGCATTGATGGAAATAGTAAAAGGGGACGTGGACCTGAAGAGACATTTTCAAATTCAAGCCTCCTTCAAATGATATCCATGTCTCCTGACTCTATATATGTTCCTTGATATCAATCGAAGGTTTGTTCTTAATGTGAATAGCATTTGAAAAGGATTAGTTTGTCGATTCCACTTGCGCACAAAAACATCGCATTGCAGCTCAGTCTTGTATGCTTGCAATTTCATTTTGAGGATTCAAATACCGCACAAAGCTCTATTTTCTGCTATTAGGTGCATATATTAGTTTGTGTGCATGGATATTTCTTTTAGCAAACGAGCAACAATAAAGCTTATTGGTATAGCTAGAGAATGCAGCAATGGCCCTCGAAATTTCCTTAGTATTGAGTCCATTCAGATGTATTTTGCATATATAGCAGGGCATCTAATTAACAATTAATTAAAGCGTTGGGTTCCAATCACACAAAATAAATAAATATATAAATAAAAGTTATAGCCTTAGATAGATAATCCATCTCTTACGCACGTAGGAATAGCTCACAAATCCATACTAGAGGCTAGAAGTAGATGATTTTGACTTTCCCATCAAATGAACGACCATGCCTTGTTTCCAGGGTTGGATGGCAACATCAAAGGAGAAGGAATCTTGTGATAGGTGCATGCCTGGCGATAGAGTTGGTTTGTATAGAAACGAGGATCTCCTTTCGGGAAAAGTAATTTAGTAGATGAAACATAGCAAAAATAGGGTAAAAGAAAGTGTAAGCTATTAGATTGGCAATGGTAATCAGACTCTCTATGAGTCTCCTGTGATACGATACGATGGTTCACACTTTCACGTTGAGAGTTTAGCATTGATCTTTTGAGAATGACATCAATTGGTGACATTAAACTTAAAATGGTAGCAAAAGTAGCATATCAAAGAAGGAGCATTCTAGTATTTTCAAAATTACTAAGGGGATTAATTATCGGCATATGAGAGAATGCCCCTTCTTCTTTTAGAGTTTTCCTATCCCGAAAATGCACAAAACTCAGCATCAAATTGGGAAAAAAAGCAATGTTCCCTGTCCCTGGGTCCTGTGGTTTGGTGTCAAGTAAGGTTCAATCGTTGGTATCAGCGGCAACAGAAGCATAAATCGAGGAAAAAACTTTTTCTCAAAACAGAATTGGGAATAAACTAAGACCTTGCTGAGTGCGATTCACTGCCCAGGACATAAGGGGGATTTTCCCTCAGTAAAACGTGCAGCCAACTGGAAACTTGTTGGAGAAATTAGACCAGCAGATAGAAAGGTAGGTGAAGCCTTTCCTAACTGTTTTTTTTTTTTTGACGCGAAGGAGGAACATGTTCTTCTTCAGAGACCAAAGACTTCGTCGCCAATTGAAAACTTGTACGACAGTACATGCACACATGGACATGGTTTGTCGCATTTCTTTTTCGCCAGTTGCAAATAATCGCGATGGTACGCTTTGTTAGGTCCTCAGGATAAATTATAAATTAATCTTTTTAGTTTTGAGAAATAAATAAATTAATTTCTTTTATTTTAAAAATTAATTTTATAGTCTTTTGATTATTATTAATCAAACTTAATTCTATATTATTATTTTTACCAATCTTTTCATAATATCTATTTTTTAATCAAAACAAAACAAATTAAAAATAATATAAAATAGATAAATAGATTACTAAATTAGATTTTGAAAAAAAATTAATTAATTAATTCGGGATAAATTATAAATTAATCTTTTTAGTTTTGAGAAATAAATAAATAAATTTCTTTTAATTTAAAAATTAATTTTACAGTCTTTTGATTATTTATTATTTTTAAAAAAACCAAAAAAAAATTAAAAAATATAAAATAGATAAAAAGATTACATAATTAGATTTGAAAAAAAAATTAATTCGTTTCCTAAAAATAGAAAAACTAATTTATAATTTACGCTAGGTTCTCATCATCTTCAAGAAAAAGAAAAAAAAATCTGCTGAATGGTTTTGCCTATGGTCAACATTTGAGTAAATTATAAATTAATCCTTCTAATTTTGAAAAAAATGAATGAATTAATTTTTTTGTTTCAAAAATCAATTATTTAATTTTTCAATTTATTTTATTTTTTATTTAAGAAATATATAAAAAATAACAATTTTATGAAATAAAATAATATTAAACTAAGAACAATCAATACTAGTTAAAAAATTTAAAAATATTTTTTAAAATAAAAAATTTATTTATTAAAAAATAAAGAGATTAATTTATAGTTTACTCAACAACATTTTGATCTTAAATTTTTTATTTTGGAATTATTAAAAAGGGGTTAAAGGGAAACGAGTATTGGATTATTCAACAATAATTTCACATAAAATATCTTGCGTTTATATTATTATGATGATCATTAAACAAGAACTTGACATCACATCCTCAATGTAGTTGTTGAAAAAGGCGAACAATGAAATAAACTGGAATTCATGATTCTACATTCTCAGCCTCAATCAAAATCTTGCATGTTTTATATCACCAAGGAGTTCCAAAATCTCTGTATGCAAAATGGTCCAAAGCAATTTTTCAATTGGAGACAAGGAATTGGAACTGAATTAACATTAATTGTACCAGTACTTATTGCAATTGTCAATCTTAGTTGGTTGGATCGACAGGTCTTTTTATTTCCTTATATATTTTTTTTCAGAAATAGGCAATGGAAAAGGTCAATTTTAATCAGCAAAAACTCGCAAATCACCATCATACATGACGATTACTTTACATTTCTTTATCAGTCCTTCTACATTAAAATTCATTTCCCATTACACACGAAAACAGCACAAACAAACCTTTAACGATGTTGAACTAAAAATAGCTGGAGGAGGTTTCATGCTACTTTCTATCTACTTCAGACACGACGATTTGACCAAGCCTTGTTTCTCTCTCTCTTCTGTCAATATATACCATACGATACATGACTCGCTTATATTATACACACCCTTCACGCAACGTTAGGATCACTGCCTCTTCTACTCTCTTTTCAATATTTCTTTGCCTTCTTCATCGATCAAGGTATGTACTTTTTCCTTCTTTTCGTACAAAGAAGATTTCTTTTTTTCTTTTTTCCTTTTTTTGATTCTTTGTATGTACTCAACAATCAAACTTTTTGGTACTCTTTGTTTTTGTTACATCATGATACATTTCTAATCTTAAACGGGACTTTTTGGTATGTCCTTTTTCTTGGTTCTTGTGCATATGCATAAATCCCAAGTCTTTTCTTTGTGGGAGAAACTTTCTTTCTATCTTTTGGTTAGATACAAAGAACTTTGAGATTATGTCAAGTTCATAGATATCTTCATCTCGAAACCCACTAAAGAAAGAGGTGTTTCATTAGATTTTTTATCCTGGATTCGTGAGAATGATAGAATAATCAGAGATCCATCATTTAAATGCAAACACAAGCTAATCTCCATGATAAATCATCTCCACTCTTAGTCTTATTGATTCATTGTACTAGGCTTCTTAGTAACTTTACACTGCAACAACTGGCTTGGGTTCTCAATCTCCTGTGTGGATGTTATCGATAAGTTTTTGACGACACCAGATCAGTGTTAAGTCATTTAGCTAAATTACATAAAGGAAATCTGAATGAATCTTAAAATGTATGAATATTGATCCACGATCTGCATTTTCTTGGTCCCTTTCGAGCAGTATGTTTATACCTTATCGATACTTGCAATGAATTAAGCTTTATCTTGCTGAGAATAATTTCTTGCAACTTCAACAATCATCATCAGACATTGAAGTAATTTCTTCCTGGTTACAGATGAGCGACGAAACGAAACCAGAAAATGAAGCTGTTGAAGCTAAGCGCGTAACACCCCGTCTAAACGAGAGAATCCTTTCGTCTTTGTCAAGGAGAACTGTTGCTGCACATCCCTGGCATGATCTTGAAATTGGTAGTTATGCAGAATATGTTTGCATTTTATTTGCATTCAAGAAGAGTTGTGAAATTAATTATGTGGCAAAAAAATGTTGTGTGCAGGGCCTGGAGCTCCCCACATTTTCAACGTTGTAAGTCTTTCTTACGACTTTATCTATCAAATAAGTTTAAACTGCATAGACCCAAAGTAAAAGCTGAAAGAAACCACACATTTATGATTCATATGCAAACTATTACATCAAATCATTTGTTTCGTTGCTTAAGTTTTCACCCATATTACTCTGCCCAGGAAACAATTGTGACTTGTAACTGGAGTGCGCATTTGAGTGGTAATTTCCAAGCTCGTAGTTTTCCTGGTGAAGTATTTTCTTGACTTTTTTTTTTTTAAATTGAATTAAACAGGTGGTTGAGATAACAAAAGGAAGTAAGGTCAAATATGAACTGGACAAGAAGACAGGACTAATCAAGGTATAATAATTCTGAATCCATTGAAATTGAAAACAAATAGTTGTAGATTCTGGACTCTGTAGGAAGTGCTTTACATGGAATTTGCTTTTTTTTTTTTTTTTTTTTTTAACTTCATTCTATATGCCATAGCCTTTTGTTTATTTTTTCTGTTCAAATGAATGCTTAGGTTGATCGGATTTTATACTCCTCTGTGGTCTATCCCCACAACTACGGTTTCATCCCTCGCACATTATGTGAAGACAATGATCCCTTGGATGTTTTAGTACTCATGCAGGTGACTTGATTTCTATTTGATATTTATTTTCAAACTCAAGATTCTGCTCAATGTTTTTCCTACACTCGTAATTGCACCATTTTTAAATTTCCCACATTGTGATCCTACCGAATTTCTGATCTGAGTAGGAGCCTGTCCTTCCTGGTTGTTTTCTGCGAGCCAGGGCCATTGGACTTATGCCCATGATTGACCAGGTAATCTTCTGGAATTCTAAAGCAAATCCCGATGCTTAAAAGGTTTAGTTTTCTACCATCAATAATTCTTTCCTTTATATTGCAATTAAATTATCTTGTCATTTTAATGCAGGGAGAGAAAGATGACAAAATTATTGCAGTGTGTGCTGATGATCCAGAGTACAAGCACTACACAGACATCAAGGAGCTGGCCCCTCATCGTCTTTCTGAGATTCGCCGTTTCTTTGAAGATTGTATCCTTTCTTTCATGCATTAACCGTTGTTAATTTTAGCAAGTATTGTTTGATGTTTGTTTACAATTCAAGGCATACTGGTTTCTTAAAACACTTGCACAGACAAGAAAAATGAGAACAAGGAGGTTGCGGTTAATGATTTTTTACCTTCAAATACTGCTGTTGAAGCTATCCAGTACTCAATGTAAGTTTCTCTAAACAACAAAAGGATTTGTCCCCAGCATCTCCTTCCAATGCCAGTTCTTGAATTAGATGCAGTACCTTTGGTTCTGAACTCTTATTTATTGCTTGGTGAAGGGACCTTTATGCTGAGTACATTCTGCACACCCTGAGGCGGTAGACACCTGTTCTGTGGTCCTTGTTTTTCCTTTGAAGGAGTTCCTTGAATTTTGATAAGGGGATCATCAACTATCATTCAAGATTATGTTTAAACTTCAATTCCGACTTTCTGTAATTTGAATTTATGGCGTTTGTTGGTTTTAAACAATGCTGCAAGATCATTGATATGTTTGCATAATATACTAAATTGGTCAGTCTTGCTCAAGAAAGTGGAAACCATGTAGTACTCTTCTATACAACTTTTCTGCTTTCCTTAGAAAGCTGAGGCTCTCTCTGATTGCAAATAATAATCCAGTAGAGATGTTTCCAATACACAGAGACTGCAGCATTCTCCACCTGAAAGAGCAATGCAAGGTCGTTTCATTTTGTGGGATGACCACCAAAATCTCAGGTTTTGAAGTTGCAGTCATGCATGAATCTAAGATATCTTGCAGTACTTTTTTGAACACTGATGTTCAGTTCTCACTGGAATAATGATCCCAAGCATGTGGGATTGACAAAATGTTTGATGGTTCATCATAAATGAAGCGTGAATCCAGCCAAATGACGTTAGATTCTTTTTCAACTTTATTGACGGCAGATAGGCGTTTGCCAATACCAAGTAACGAAAAGGGGTGATTATTATAGCGTCCTTAAAGGCAACATTTTCAAGTTCCTTTGTGATAGCAGGATCTGTTAATTGCCATTTCATTAACAAATCCATTCAAGATGCACCCAATCCTCAATTTCTACAGCAGTGTCTTTAGGACGATACGCTTTATGGAGCTAATCCACAAGCAAATCGAGTATTAATGGTGTGCTCAATCGTTAAGCACACACCACTATTGGCAGAAAGCAATAGCCATCTGTATTATTGGTCTCACAAATTTTAGCACTTGCTTTGCACTTTTACTTCCACTATATCAGAAGAACGAACAATATAGATGTTAAAAATACAGTAGAATGTAATGTTCCAAGAAAATCACTATTTTGGCATGGGGTTTGCTACGAAGGACAGGTAGATAGCAGAACTCCGCAAATGATGCTCCATTATAGCTGTCACGAGTACTGTTTATTTAATAGTTCCAATAGAAGAACTGCAGCGGAGTCCTTGGCCTTTTTAACACTCGGCATAGGCTCTCCCACACATTCATCAGTCCATCCTCTATCAGTAGTATTCACACGAACCGAAAAAGTAAACCTCTTTGCATGAGCAGGACCACCCTCATTGACGCACCTTAAACACCGAAATTATAAAGTTAGTAAGCTGATGTTTTTGCTCATCTGTTTTAACATGAGCATAAACATTAGATGATATTCTTACCGATAAAATGGCATAGGCCAATTTCTACGCAAGCAGATATCATTTAAGGTTTGTCTGGTAAACGTTTGGTTGCCATTTTTTTCTTCCTCCCATTCTCATCACTCTTCTCCCTGGCTTCAGCTGTTTCCTTCTCTTTCAAAACAGCAAGTGCATTCCTAGCAGCAAGTTTCTGTGCCATCTTCTTTTGTGGATTTTGTGCGACTCCTACCTGAACACCATCAATGAAAACTTCAACAGTAGCCAAATTGCCACTTCGAGTGGCTTTGTATTCCAAGCCTTCAGCCTGTTGCTGGCACCGTTCCTGCAGCTCCCTTACAGGATGCATTGGTAGGGTTTCTGGAGTGACCATTGGATGCAAAAGAGGTTGAAAAACCTGGAATAAAGGGATGCAGTACCAGAAATTGTCATCACATATCCTCATTTGTGAACAGTAGGAAATGAGAAACAGAAGGGGTTGCCAAAGGGTATGGCGGCCATGCTGGCAAGTTCCAGGACTCAAAACTAACCTTCCAAACAACTGCAGTGTCTCGCCCACTGTCAAGAAAAATAGCACCAGCAATAGATTCAACAATGTCCCCAAGAACCTTTGGAGCTTTGCAATCTCCTAAACCAAAGGAGTTGAACCCTGGCTTCAATAATTCATCTTGAACTTCCTTAACAAAGTCGCGAATCTGTAACATAATTCAACTAGTGTCAAAACTCCACAAAAGAGACTAGCTATGTAAATTAAGAAAACCATGGTCAACCTACTATACTAACAGAGGAAAAAGATAGCAAACCTGCTTTTCAAGTGCGCTTGACCCATGTCTAAGGTGCACATGAAGCTTGTGTTTAACTGCAACACGTGCAAAATTTTCATTGTTTACAGCAGCAGCTCGCAAGTCTGTCAGACGACCAGGGGGCAGATTTGTATACGTGAAAAACAAATGCCTAGTAATGAGATGATCTAAGACTGCATCACCAACAAATTCTAATCGCTGATAGCAGGATACTCCAGAAGATGGTCGTGAAGCGTGCGTAATGGCTTCTACCAACAAGCCATGATCTTTGAACTCAATATCCAAGGCACCTTCTAAAGCATCAAAGTCAACACTCCTAAGAACACTTTCTGGAACATTGAATGGCCTAGATGCACGCTCCATGTCTTCATGATCAAACTCTACCTGAATTCCGACCCATTTCATGAGGTGGTTAGCAGCATTCTTCCCACCTTCAACATAATAGACACCGATTAATGCTTCAACAACATCTGCCAATGTCTTGCTAGAGAGGACTCTGTAAGAACTAGCATCACTCTCAAGTTCACCATCTTCAATTTCATCTTCATATCCATCATCAAGACGATCCATTCCTGCTCTATCCTCAGCAAGTAATTTCTCCTGATCAAATAAGGACGAGTCTCCATCTTTTGCGTCCTCATCAAACACAGGCAACACTCCAGGAGCAGCCCATCTAGATGGAGCAAAGCGATCTGCTTGAATATAGGACTGAAGTCCTTTATTCAATGCATATTGATACAAAACCATGTTGCTAACCATTTGTTGCCTCATCCTAGTGAGTTGACCCTCATGTTTCTGGGGATACTTAAGAAAAAGAAATCGACTAACAACCCATTTCAGGTATGCATCTCCTAGAAGCTCTGCTCTTTCATAGCAGAATGTCTCTTGGCATGAAGCAGCAGTCAAGGCTTCCAAGATCTGCAGATATAGGAGGGACACATCAGTTACAAGGTAGTTCACAGCCTTCAAACTTTCAATAGTAAATGAAATACCTTTGAAGCAGGGACTGGATAATTTATTATATCCTTAAGTTCAACAGCGAGTAGCATGCTTTCAACTCTCCTCATTATTGATGGTAATCTCTGGGCACCTCGAACAAGTGATCCAGGAAGAGGGTGTACTAGACACAGCTCAGGAGGAAGAAACACGTAGTAAGTTTTGTCAAGATTCTCTTCAGATTCACCTTCATTTGCTACAAAAACAAAAATTTGCCCATTTAGCTCTAGAAACTAAAAAAATGTGAAGCATACCTTACAGGCAGAGATGGCTTTGCTCCTGAAGGATAGGGGAAGATACATACAATCTGAGTGTTCAAACCGAGGGGATAAGAGATTCTTGCAGTATGAAACACCTCGTCCTCTTATTAAAGGTTGTTGCTTATATACCAATTCAACTCCATACCTGATAATGATACATAAATATAATCAATATCCCCATGAATAGACCCTCTGTTGTGCAACCAGAAAAAATGAAAAAAAAGGCTTCTCCAATCTATGAGAAGACAAGAATATTTCCATCACAGATTCAGATAAGCTTTTGTTTCTTCAAGCACAACATCAGAAATGCATCGAAGCTAGTAGTCATGGCTTAGCACAATAGCAATTAAAAAGGTATTCTTCAATTATTTTCAATGAGGAGAAAGGGGCAAGAGCTAAGAAAACCAATTTATTAGGGAAAGTAACGAGGATCGCACTTTTGCTTGTAGTAATCAGCATATGAGCTGTACTCCAGAGGACCAAGATAACCCTCTTTTCTTGGGAATGAGTTCTCGGCAGTCATATCAGAGCATATGGAAACCACATAAAACCTCTTCCCAGAGTGAGCAGCTGTAACAATTCTCCCTATCAAAGCATCAGCATCCACACAGGTGTCAGCCATCATTAGTTTGCCTTTGGTCAACTCCAGCTTTTGCATCTCAGTTGCATCCCGTTCCCGCCTAGGAACCAATCCAACAGCTTTCACAACATCAAACTGTGCTACAGCTCCCCTGATGCCATAAGTGGGATGAGATTTCTGTCCAAAAGCAATTCCATGACGCAATTTCCCAAAACCATACTCCCTTCTGTCTCCACCAAGTGTCCTCTCATTTGTACCAAGGTAAACATCCGGTCGAGCTCTCTGAAGGGGATTGCTCCATGCATCTGTTCCAATTATATTTTCAACCAGATCCCAGTCAATTTCTTTTATAGGATCTACAAACTTATCGCTAACCATGGGGACGAATAAATATGTTTTCGCAGGATCCCACGGAGTGTTGGAAGGTTCAACATCCACATCCAATACAATGCTCATCAATCTTACATGAAAACTTTTAAGGGATGCCAGCTGCACACAATGAGAGTTCAAATGTGTCAGGCATCAGATTCTGAAATGTAACATTTGAGGAAAGTGAAAAGGAAGGGGGTGTCTTGGACCATTACTCCAATAGTTAACTGACAACCGACCTGACTTTCAGTAATATCTATGGGACCCCTAATGACAAGAGATGCCTTCGTTATCATGGTTCGAGCGATAAATAGATCCATCGACATCGATAAGACCTGCAAAACTTGAGGTTAAAGAGAAATGCTTAACATATCTATCTATGCTGGAACTGAAAATAAATTGAAATACCTCTGCATCCAGCTCATTGCCAAAAAGCACTGCAAAATTTGAAACTTGAGTCAAGAATGGATCATTTGAAGTGCCACTGTTTACACATCTGACACTGTACATGTAAAGACGAAGCACTTTGGAGTTGTCATAACCATCTCTTCCACATAAAATCCATTCTCCCTGAAAGGCCAAATAGAGTTCAGTATCTGTGTGCTACAAGAAGATCATGTTGAAAAGAAACCTAAAACAGCACTTATTTAAACAGTACAAAACAGATCTACATTATAAAAACACGATGGAAAGGAAAAGTAAAAATAGGGAAATAGAAGGAATGGAAGGCATCCTCTAAAAGACAATGGAAGGCATTTGACTTGGTGTAATAAGAGAAAAATGACCCTTTAAATAAATGTTCATGGTTTGGATATTTTCAAAGTTCATTGAGATGCAAATGCAAATTCTTGTCATCCATGCACTCCCCCACCCCCACCCGCCAAATCCCTACACCCTTTTCCTGCAAAAAAGGAGAGCAGGGAATAGAGAAACCCCACTCCATTCAACTAAGTCTCAGTCTCAGGTTAATTGGGGTGGCTATCTGGGTTCCTTAACGCCATTAAAATTCTTCCACCTACTAGGTACAGTAGCAGGGTCTTATAAATTCCCAGTTTTTAATGTTTTTCTTATGCCTACTAGCTACCATAAAATGCATTCAATAGTCGCTAAAAATTCACCTACCAAAGAAAGAGGCAAATGACAAAGGACAAAAGCATGCTCCGATTAGACATAAGAAGAGAATTTCCACTGGCAAAACAAAGAAAACAGTGCTGCAGTGAAAAAGGTGGTGCAGAGTAATTCACTGACTAAAACCATGAGGGTATTATTCTAGTGTTCATTAGGTCACAGTATCTTCGGACAGAAGCAAATGGATACAGGCTCCTATTTTTTCCAATCCGTCACTAACAAATATTTCTATCACCGAACTTTATCATTAACAGTCATCAACACACAGACCGTCATAACCATGGAACAAACATAACAAACTAACCTGGAGTATATTAGCTACACCTTCAGGATAGAACTCCCGATGTCTAGCAGTCCCAGGAAGTGGTTCGCCTTCATCATTCTGATCAACCTTGTCTTTTTCTTCCCCACTTCCCTTGTCTGGCAAGAGCATGTCAGTAAATGCTCCCATCTCATGGAGCTTCTTGCAAGCAGCCAAACAAACAGCCTACACATTAATCAGATAATTAACACGTATTCCTAAATTAAAAATAGTGAAGCTAGCACAATTGTGATGACAAAGTAGCATGCCTGCTGTGCAAGGCGCATTGAACTGCATACAGGACCCTCAAGCTTCTCAAATGGAGCATTACAAGGCAGCTGAAGCTTGCATGAATACTCTGTGGGACCTCCTGGCTTCTCATGCTTCTCCATAATAAACTCAGGACGAAGTATTGAATACCTGGATAGCAGAATGTATTGGACAAGAAATTAGTATTCCTTAACAACCAATAAGATTTTGGCTAAAGTTATCAACAAGGGATTGATAAGGGACCTGTCACTGGGTAGCTGAGAGCAATAGAAGTGGATTAGTCCAACAGCAGAATTTAAGCTCACAACAGCACCAGTAGACTCCACCTGGTAAACAGTTCCTGGTATTGAATCCACTGCAATTAACCTTGAAGTATCCTTAAGATGACTGAGGTCAGTTCTCTCAATCGCTTCTTTCCGCAGTGTCTCCTCGCTATTCCTAGCATTCCTCAAGAATGCTCCATGAGACAGATTTCCCCTGAGAATGGTAAACATTATAAGTTATTTGATATATACTACAGGACCAAAGATGAGATTGAGATTAGATCCAACACCATTACCTCTCCACCATTAAAATGTAATCAGAGCCCGGCTTTCTTGCACGACCTCGAGACTGAATGTATGCAAGAACAGTTTTTGCAAGATCAAAGCGAATAACAACATTGCATTGCCTGATATCAAGTCCTTCCTCAGCAACACTGGTAGCAACTAACAATGTCACCTGCCCAATAGATGCAAGCATTTACTAGGCATCTAGCATAAAATTTCAGCACTTAAAGAAACCAATCAACAACAATGGCATTGATACATACACGACCATCTCGAAATTTAGTGATTGTGTCCTGCATTTGGCTTGTCCTCATTTCCTGACTATTGTTGTGCCCTATCAAGCTGGCACACCTGACAAAACTTAGAGATGGAAGCACTGCAAAAACCTGCAAGCTTGACAAAACATAACACAGTACTGTGAGAATGTTGTAATGAGAACCATGCTATGGGAAGCTTCACAAAAAGAGATATATTAACATATTTGACCTTAGGAAGAACCAAAGCTGCTACCACACGCTCAACAAAGATGATTGCACGAAAATCTTCTGTGTGCTGATATCCAAGAAGTATTTTAATCAGTGATTGCACTTTAGGAGTCACTTTTCCATCAGCTACAGCGGCTCCTATTATCACATCGACATGTTCTCCGCCAGAGACAACTACACCACATAAGTAAACAAGGAGACAAATGTATCAACACCATTTCTCTTCAAAACTACTAAAAACTTTTAACGTTGTAAAATCAAGAGCAGAACTGGGACCGGTATAACAATACACGTTGATGGGTCATGTCCCCAATCACATATTGAATATTGCATAGGACCGGTAGACTTCCCTAAATTCCCCTCCATCTGACACACCGAGATCATTTGTTTCCAGCAGTTTCATGCACAGATCACTATTCACTACACTGAGGAATTAATCTAAACCAAGTCCAAATTTACTCAATGTTATGTTGTCAGGAATCAACAACACCCACCATGACTGTCAGGGAGCTCTCCCTCCTCAATCTCGTCAGAATAAGGCCCATCTTGAGCATTGCCATTTTCATTGTCTGAAACTTTTGTATCCTTGTCTGTAACAGCTCCCTCTGTTAATTGGCATTGCAAGAGTGCCACGACTCTTTCCAGATAGGATTCTTGAAACTTAACATCAAGCTGATAGTTTGCTCTCTCATCATTTTGTAAGGCTGTCAGAAAGGATTGTGCAACCTGCAAAAGACACGGATGCAAAACCAAGTATTTGTTATAGCCATACACAGTTACAGTCCCATAGATGTGAGATCCAAGAAAAAAGGTAGATAGGGTCCTATCAGTCAGCATTTTAATAAATCCACTCTCAAGATTGGTGGTGGCAGGCCCAAGACATTGACCATTGCACTAAGCAATGGCACACTAGACAATTATGCTAAAAACAATGGACAAAATAAACCACACTGTAAATACCTTGTAAGCACACCACTGACCAAGATCACCGAGTGCATAATTAATTGCCCTCAACTTTTGAATTAAGTTAGCTGCCCCATCACTTTCCGTTCTTTCAGAAACACCGTAAACTTGACGCAGCTCTTCCTTGGCCCCAGCATCCCTAGCTCCCATAAATTGCCATTTACTTCTTCTCGAGCTTGATTGTGCAGCTTCCTCAACAGCAACTTCCATTTGCTTTATTTGTTCATGAAGGGACCACAAGCTGGCTGCTTTGTCATACTCCACCACAACTTCCACGGGCATTGGTACATGCTTTTCCAGATCCTTGCGGTCTTTTATTGTACAAACAATTGAGTCCAGTTTACTCTCTAGATTGCGGATCTTTATTGCACAATCCACCTGACTCGAAACACCTGAAACGCAATCAATATCAGTACAAGATGTTACAGCTTGAAATTCATGTCCTACTAACTAAAAAATCCTGATTAAAAAGAAACTCCTGCTAGGAATATGAACAGCTTCAAATTCAACAGTCACAAATTAAATCAATACCCTTTAAGTTAACAGGAGAAGCTGTCATTCCAAAAACAGATGGTCTCTTCTCCTTTGGAGTTGTATGGTAGAACTCAGACATCACTAGAGAATATGGATGTTTCTTCACAGCATGATGACACTCATCCAAAATTAAGAGATTGATGCCTTCCATTTTGATTATACTGTGCCTCAAAATGTTCAAAAGAATTTGGGCTGTCATCACTAAAACCTGCAGGGAGAAAAAAGGCAATCAAATAGATCGAGGAACAAGCTACCACCAGAGTGGAAGCAAGCAAAATATGTATCTATCTCCAGGGCGTTCCCTTTCATTGTTACTAAATGTGCCCCCATTAATGGTTTTGATTCAACTCCCAGCATGATACATTAGCAATGTTGTGATACCCACAGAAAACAACAGGACAGGCAGATTAGATCGTTAAACAAATATATTTTATCGTTAAAATTTCTAGCATTCCTTTGTAACAACATTAGCCCAATACAGAAATTATAACAAAACACCCCTCAAACATCCACATCTTCCCTTCACCAAATCCCATAAATACTATTTCCATCACATACAAAAATTTCCAAAGGTACTTTCGCAGTTACCCATCCCTTAACGGATGATTTCCAACACAAGAAAAGATGCTGGGGAATGCACAACCAAATGATCAATTGATTTTAATTTCTTTTCCATTCTGCGCATTATGGGGCTCAGAACTCTATACAACCTTGTGGCTCACACGTTATTTTGTGCTCAGCCTCCTATGAATTAGGGATGCCCAAGTCTAATTTTCAAGAGAACTTTGGACACCCAAACCAAATTTGAGAAAAGTCACATTGAGCACTAAGGTAAGAGAGAAACGAGCAAATAAAACTGATATATATACAAATTGGACAATAAACATGCTTGAAGTTGGATCAGAGACTACAGTGAATTGAAGAGGCATGATCAGACTCTCTTACTACTGTACCTTCCCCCAGACTTCTAACATTAATGGATCTAATTATTAGATGCTAGAAAACAAATGGTTTTCCCAGATTTAAGGCATGTAATTAAGTATAAGAAGTCATAAGAAGAAACAATTACGGTTAACTGCAACAAATACCTTTCTAGTGCTACTAATTTATAAAATCATGTCAAATTAGTGGCCATTATCATAACCACAGGCGATGACTAAAGTAAACATGAGAAATAGAAAATAGAAACATATGAAGATTGAAGATCACCAGAAAAATACAGGGGAATCAAAATCTAGCATAAACAGAAACTTCAAGAGCTACCTGTTTTGTTTCAAACTCGCGCTGCCACCTTCTAGTATCCCAGAAATCTTGACCCATCTCACCACAATAATGGCCCACTTGGTAACCAGTACGCTCACGAATAACTTCTGCTTGCTGAAGTCAGAAAAGCAGGACAAAATCATCAAGCAATACTGGCAATCAATGAAGATTATCAAAGTTTTACATCTTCTAAAAACAACGTAGTCTTCAGATTCAGTGTAACTACCTGATAAACAAGTGGAACCTTAGGAACCAAAAATACAGCAAGAATTTTTTATTCTGCCTTTGTAAGTCATTGCAAATGCTCCGAATGAGAAGTACAGCAATGAGGGTCTTCCCTGCCCCCGTTTCAAGAAAAGCTATTGTATTTTTCTTCTTAGCCTGTTCAAGGACATCCAATTGATACTGGCGGGCTTGTTCTTCGGGGACTTTCTCTTTACTCTCCTCTGATTTCTTATCTGGCTCTCCTTTGCACTCAGGTATCTTGTCATTGGCCTCCCTCCCTTCTTTGATACGATCAGCTTCCCATGTACCCAATCGAAAAACCATATCATGGGACCCTGAACGATCCCTCTCCCAATAACCCCTCAGTTCTCTGTCCCTCCAATCCCTATCTCTACCATCCCTCCTACTGCTACCACTATATCTATCTCTTCTCCGACTAACATCCCTATCCCTTCTATCACTTTCATCCCTATCCCGCGATCTCTTCCTGCTGGAGACTCTCTCCCTATCCCTAGGTTCATGTTGCCCTCTACTAGAATACACTCTCTCATTTCTATAACCACAAAGTCTAGCCCTTTTACCGCACCTTTCTTCACCATCAAAATCTCGCTCCCTTGACCGCTCAAAAACACCCTTTTTCCCATTTTCTTTAACAAAATTGTTTGACAATTTCTCTTCTCTCTTCCTATTGGACAAATTCGACCCATTATCAACATTCTCCACCAGCCCTTTTCCTTCAAAATTGTCTTTATCACCACCATTTGATTGTGAAACCAAGCCTCCGTTGCAAACTCCATTCTCTACATTACTAAACCACCCATCCCCAATATTGCAATCCCGACTTCCATTGGCAACGTTAGTTGTTGTACTAGCATTGCTAAGCGGAGGCAGACCACTACCATTCTTAATACTGTCAAGAATGTGATCAATTCCTCCAAAGAAATCATTAACATTAGAATTATTATCAACAGATAATTCTTGAACAATTGAACTATCAAAATCAACAAAATCATCTATAATATCACAAGAAATATCCTCACACGCATCCAGCCAGTAAGACGGGCCGCCTCCATACCCGGCTCCAGTTACTGAAACCCTCCCATTACTCTCATTCTCAGCTCCAGTTACTGAAACCCTACCATTACTCTCATTCTCGGCTCCAACCCTACCATTATTCTCATTCTCCATTACCTCAAAAATAAAATTAACTAATAGTAATTAATGCTCTAAAAAATAAAATCAAATCAAGAAACCAAAAACAAAATCATCATCAAAGAAAAAAAAAGCTTAATAGTATCTTGATAAAGTGAATGAAAGAGCGAAAGAGAGAGGGAAGAGGGGGTTTGATTGTTTCTTTTCTTCTTCTGATATGCAGATTAGGGTGGATAGACCGTACGAAGCACGCAAATATTTATGAAGGGTAATGAAAAAGAAAACCTTTGTTCCTTTTTTTCTTTTTTATATTGTTGTTTGGTTGTGTGATTCTTTTAGATTCCCACGGTCTATCAACCCTTAATTCTGCTTGCTTCCTTCTCTCTTCTTTCTTTTTTATCTTCTGATTGAAACCAAACCAAACCCCCAATCCGAGCGCGCTTACTCTTCTTCTTCTCTCTCTCTTTCTATTTCTGTTATCTGTACTGGCTATGGCTTTCTTGTTATGTTCTCTTGCTCTTTTAAGGAAGATACGACGCAAAGAAGGAGCGACGAGAGAGGGGTTTTATTTTTTGTTTTTGTTTTTGTTTTTTCTTTTTTTAAAAAGAAAAAAGAAAAGAACAGAACAGAAAGCAGGGACCTAAGGCGGTTCTGTAAGTAAAGTAGAGTAAGACCGTAAAGAATACTGTTGGCTGCGTAGTTGCTTCTGCTAGATTTTTTTGAAACTTCTTACAGCGTTCGACTGGTGTACGATATCTTTCCATGTATCTAATGATCTTTTGACGCGTGGCATTTACGCAACGTGAGTTTCTGAATGGTAAGGGCTGTTGGTTTTTTTTTTTTTTCCCCTCCTCAAGGATTTTTTTACGGTGATTGCCGTGTTTGTTGGTTCATGCTTACTTGTTTCCTGATGTTTTCCAAGTAAAAGAGAAGGGAAGGGTCAGAGGGTAGTGAATATATGGTGGAAAAAAACAGTGAAGTGACACGTGTCAAGTTGAAGGAGAGTGGGACCCACACGAGTAGAGTAGAATTTTGGTATAATTCAATGGAAAAAACGTTAGCCAGTAAGCTACAAAATATGGCTGAAATGATAGGTCAATGTGATGGGACATTCTGGTCCGTTTGATTTATTCTTTTTTGTCCATTTTTTAACCAATATGAAGAAAAAGAGGAGTTATTCCCTATTATCTCATTCCTGAATATATTTTATCGTAGGAGATCTTCCAATGTGGGACCTACCAACTGTGTTTGTGGCCGTGGTTGGGATTTTGGGTTTTAGATGAATATGAATGTAACCATTCTTGCCATGATTAAGTTAATTATTCTTCTCATTGATTGCTACTTTAAAGTTTCTTTGCGTATAGCTTCCGATGAAAATGTTGGACGTTGAGAACGTACGTTTTTCTGTGATTTATTTTGTGGTGGGGTTGGTGGTTGCCGCCTTGGGTATTAACGTAAGGATTTAATTTGAAGCGGGAAATGGGAAATAGAAAGCTTTCATACATCTTTTCACTCTGGTGAGTTGTAAATGCTGCAGACCTATCTGAATCTCTGCTTGAGAGCAGCATTCATTTCAGGCTTGACTTGTTAAACAGACCAAATCACGTCTTCAATTTTGGAACATGGATCTTCTGGAGTTGCTTACCTTTTACTATCATTGTTTTCCCTTCTTTTTTTTTCCCTTTGCAGTTTTCTTGCAATGAAGCTATCGGGATTAATTTTACAATTTATGATCAGTTTGTTTTGCTTAAAATATTTTACATAAAAATATTTTTTTATCAATTTTTCTGTAAAATTATAAAATATTTTCAGTTTATTAAATTTTGTAAAACATTTTACAAATACTAGTTGAGTATTTTAACCATTGCTATCTCCATCATCTTTACCATTGTCATTGCTCTACGACTACCATTGTCATCTCTTCTATCTCAACCATGCCATTATTCTATAGATAATCATCGTTACAACATATCCGTCAAATGATCATCTCATTCAAAAGCTTAAGCTCACACCTCCTCAAATGAAAATCTCAACATTTGAGCTTGAAACTTACACGGATCCACAATGCATTGTACTTAATATTTGAAAAATTAAAAATTGTGAGATTTGAACTCGGGACCACATGATCAACCAAGCTTTGATATTATATTAAAAGACCATCTCACCTAAAAGCTTAAGTCGATAGGTGAAGTCTCATAGTATAATTTATATTAGTCTCCGATACGTTCCCTCACTTGCGTACCCATCTTTTGGGGTCCGTCAAGTGGCTTGAGCTCTAGGATCCCGGCTTAAGCTTTTAGATGAGATGGTCCTTTAATATGGTATCAAAGTTTAGTTGATCATGTGGTCCTAAGTTCAAGTCTCACCATCTCTAATTTCTCAAGTATTAAGCACAAGACATTATGGACTGTGCAAGTTTCAAGCCCAAATGTTGAGGCTTTCACTTGAGGGTGTGTTAAAGACTAATATAAATTATATTATGAGGCTTCACTTATCAACTTAAGCTTTTAGGTGAAATGATCCTTTAATAACATCATCATTGTATTATTATTATATTTTTCAAATCATTATTTATTAAATATCATAAAAAAATCCATGTAAAATATCCGTTCATAAATTTATTTATTTGTAAAATGTTTTACACAAGGCAAACACTCCGTAGAAAGATTTTTCCATTCCATTGATATAGAATAGCGAGAGAAATTTAAAGAACGTTAGTCAATGTATATTTTAGAGTGTAGTTTTAATTTAGGGATCAACACTAATTCGGCATATTTTAGTTTTGTTTCGTTTCGAATTTTAGAAACGTCAAGGTTTTATTATTTTAGTATCTATTTGTGTAAATGTAAAGCCTTTTGGCTAAATAACTTGTCTTGAATTATTAATGTTTGAAAGAAAAAGGAAACTCTCCTTTTTCGTCAACAAAACACCTTCTCTTAAATACTAGTTTAGGCTCTATTGATTTTTTCTTGTTTTCTTTAATATGGATGAGATACCTCATTCCTTTGTTTATTTCTTATAATGAGGACATGATCTTTTTAGATCTTATTTGTTGTTATGATTCACTATTTGGCTAGGCATTTTATGTTTCTAGAACTAAAAGATTATTTCATTTAAATAAAAATTTTAAGATTTTATCTTGTTATTTGAAAGAGATTAGCATCCTTTAGCGAGTGTTAGATGATTAAAATTTTCTATTAATGGAGCTTGATAGAGCGACTTGTTCCCTTGTAAATCCATGATAGCAAAAGACTTGGTTGTGAGTGTAATTTTGAAGATAAGTCATGTTTTAGAAATTTTTGGTTAGGAAAGCTTAGAGAGCTCTATTTGTCATCCATAAAAAGATTAGATATTGCACAAAGACCATGATTCACCATGTTTTGAAATAATTTATTAATCTATTTACTTGTAACATATGTATAGAGAATAAAATTTTTTTAATCAAATAATAAAATTATTGTCTTTTTTCAAAAATAATTAATAAAACTATCAATTTTGAAGTCTTGTTTTTGTCCAGTGAATTTGAAATGTTTAACTTCCAAGTCTAATTTACCTTGCCTCGGTGTTCTCATTACTCAATGTAACACTTTTTCTTTTCTTTTCTATTGATGGGTATATTTTAATTTAATTAAATAACATTGCATTGAGTGGTGGATACTTTTCATGCTCAAAACTAAAGTCCAAAAGAAACACAACTAGCTTTGAGTTACAAGATATACGATGTTAGAATACATATCTCACAATAAATAATTAAACTAATAATGAATAATATATAAAGTCGAAAAGGGATTACTCAAAATAAATCTCAAGTCTTTTGGATAAAACTCAATATCAATTATCTAATTTTATATGGTATTAGAATCTTAAAAAGATCCAATGACTTAGTAAATATTTTAAAACCCAAACCACATGACAAATCTCAAAAAATGGGATACAAGTAAAGAGAAATGTTGAAACACATGTACCATATTGAATAGTTAAACTAATAATGAATAATATATAAATTTAAGAAAAGAAAATATAATTATGGATGCTTGATTATTAAAAAAGAAAAAGAAAATAAAAAGGCGGTATTGGAGGAGATGGTTTGGGTTTCGAGTTCATGGACCTTCAAGGATGGATCAATGTTCTTTTTATTATATCTAAAAAGGTTAGATAGAGGGATAGAACGAATGTTACCCGTAACAACAGATTGGGATCGATCAATTCGATCAATCGAGGTTAGAAGAATCCAAAGGCCATACTCGGTCATTTATATTTTATAATAGTTTTAATTTATATGTGGGATAGCATTAATTTGGCATATTTTATTTTATTTTTGTTTTTATTTCGAAGTTTAAAAGCATTAGGGTTTATCTAATTTTATAGATGCAATTAGGGATGTTCATTATTCACCGAAAAACGAATAACCGAACCGTATCAAAATATCAATTTCAATGCGATTTTTTTAAAAAAATAAAAAAAACAAAAAAACAAAGCGAAATAATTTTGATTTTCGGGTTAGGGTTTTTTTTTAAAAAAAATTCATTAATCGAAAATCAAAATTTTAATATATATATTAAGTCGGATCACTCACTCGCACCCCTAAACCGAAAAACCCTTTCTCCCCTATATGCACTTCCTCCCATAGCTTCGTACGTGCTCTCTTTGTCTCCGTTATAAGTTTAAATGTATATAAAATAGCGAAGATGTTTGTAGTTTTTCTATCGTCTCTAATTCAAGCTCTCTTGAGTAAATAATTTATTATTTATTTATCTATCAATGCATTTGCTATTTTTTAGGCACAACTTAGTTTCCTAGCTAATAATCCACAAAGTAGAAAGAAACTCACTTTAAATAGAGGTTTTAGAAACTTTAATAGAATCGATTATCTATAGAAAAAAATAAAATAAAATAAAACGAGTAAAAATCGAATTATCGAACACCGAAATTGAAATATTTTGAAACCAAATAACATTTTGGTTTTTTTTTTTTTTTAAGTTCGGTTAATTGAAAACCATCTAAAATATTTTGAAACCAAACCGAATAACCGAACG